TTTTTTTTTCATAAAATAATAAACTCTTCTGCTCTTTGTTATATAATTTTAAATAAAGTTAAAATTTTTTACAAGTATTGTTTAAAATCTATGAATTATTATGAATACAAATTTTTATTAAGTTTATTTTAGTTAAGATTTCGAAATTTTAAGTTAGAAAAAATAATTATAGAAATTATTAAGTCATTTAAAAACTAAAATTCTGAATACATTTAACTAAGAGAAAATTAATCGAATATCAATAAAATTTTATGATGAAGAATATTCAGAGAGGTCAGAATTTTAATTAATCTTAAGGAATTGTAAATCCTGAAAGTTAAAATAAAACTGAAGATAATTTTAAAAATAATAACAAGAAATACACTTTATTTTTATTTCATATTGAAGGGATTCAAAATTTTGCCTTAAATATTAACTGAAGTAATTGTAGATTGAGGTAATTACTTTGATGTTGCTAAAAATGATAAATAAAATCAATATTCAATAGTTGTTAAATCAGGAATGCAAATTTTAATAATTTTTTTATTTTGTTGCATAATTTTAATGAAAAATTGAATCTTAGGAAGTCAACTCCATTATCAAAAATATGATTACAACCCTTAATAATAAGTATGGATTGTATATTTAAACAATATTTGATATTCTTTTTTTATAAATTTTATTATTAATGTTTTAACCTAAAATGATAGAAAATTAAAAAGATTTTTAATGTAGATTCCAACATTCATAACCTATTGAATTTGTGATCCTTGATTAAAGTTTACCAAACAATCAGCAGCTGATTTGCAAAAATTGTTAGAAAAATTCTCAATTAGATTTGAGAATAGTAGAATTCTAAATTCTCAAATCAAACTTTGATGATTTATAAAGACAAAAAATTGAATAGTATGCATTAATAATTAATCCTCATATCGACTCTGTAAATAAATTTTAAAACACACTAAAATCCCTTAAAACAAAACTAATTCAATAATTAGATTAGTTAATTTGGCTTTCTGAAGACTGGATAAATACTTTGGCAAATTCAATTGTATCTTATAGCTTTTTTGATGAATTGAATAAAGTGTTGTAATAATAATCTTCAATAATGGATTTCAATAAATTGATTGAAAATGTAAAAATAATTCATAAGAATTGGAAAATGAAAGTCAATCAAAGATTAGATGAATTTAAAATCTAATGTGAAAACTAAAGTTTTTAGGATATCTTTTAATAACTAGATAATTTAACATTTTAATAAGAAGCAGAAGTTAAATTCTAACCTATAATCAAAATTAAAGATTCTTATATTTTATCATTTAAAGAATAAAAAAATTTAGATTAATGGAAGGAAGGTACAAATCGATTGAAAGTGTTTGCTTGGAATTAAAATAAGAAAAAATCATATTACGAAGAATTGGAAATAAGATATACAAAAGATAAAGAAATATTGTATATTAAAGATGGATCTATTATAAGAACGTAAAATTTTTTCATGATTACACTAGGGATAAAATAGAAGATTTCACCAAACAGCCTGAATTAATAAATAATTTAGACTAAATTCAATTACTTTAATTTAAAGGGAAATATGGAAAAAATAACTAAAAAGTGGGCAGATGGAAAGTTTAATGGGATGGTTAAACTTTGGATGATGTAGGGGGTGAGTACTAAGAGGATGGTAAAAAGTCAGGCTATTGGAAGGAACCTATAAAAAATTTTTGGAGGTTTAAATCATATTAAATAAAAAAAGGAAAGCCATGGTTTATGAAGCAGGAAATTACGATAATGATTAGAAAGTGGGAACTTGGAAATTTATCTATAGAAATAAATAGATGTATCTTAAATATTGATGAACTATTTAGTGGTGGAGGAGATTACAACTTACAAAGTATGAAACAAGGAAAATGGATTGAAATAGCAGAGAATTTTTCTTCTTTTTGTTAAGTCACTTATAATGGAGAATATAATTTAAAGAGTATGAAGGTAGGTAAATGGGATATTGTGGTTAAAGGAAAATAAATGTAATATTATAAAAGTCATAATATGATAGAGGTGGTGGATAATATAATTAGGAAGAGAGATAGATAAAAATTGGAAAGTGGAAAGAGTTGGATATGGGATTTTCAAAAGATAAATAAGTTATTTTTGATGGAGAATACAATATGAAGGGTATAAAAGTAGGTCAATGGAATATTTTAGCTTGGGGAAAATAAATGTAATATCTGAATAGTATTATTTATAGTGGTGGTGGATCATATGATTAAAATGAAAAAAAGATTGGAAGGTGGGTAGAGTTAGATGAGAGGTTTGATAGTAATAAAGAAGTCACTCAAAGTGGTGAATATAATATAAATGGTATGAAGGTAGGTAAATGGGATATATTATATAAAGGAAGATATGATGGGAAATATCAAAAAATGTAAATAATTTATAATTACATTATAATATATTAGTGGTGGAGGTTCATATGGAGAAGCTTAGGTTAAGATAGGGAAGTGGATAGATTTGGATGAAAATTTTGAATTTGATAAATAAATCACCTATAATGGTGAATATAATATGTAGGGTTTAAAGATAGATAGATGGGATATTTGGTTTAAAGGAAGATATGATGGGAAATATCAAAAAATGTAAATAATTTATAATTACATTATAATATATTAGTGGTGGAGGTTCATATGGAGAAGCTTAGGTTAAGATAGGGAAGTGGATAGATTTGGATGAAAATTTTGAATTTGATAAATAAATCACTCATAATGGTGAATATAATATGTAGGGTATGAAGGTTGGTAGATGGGATATATGGTTTAATGAGGGAAATGATAAATAATATTAATTAATGTAAGCATAATAATACATAATAATATTTTAGTGGTGGTGGATCATATGATTAAAATTCGAAAAAGATTGGGAGTTGGATTGAATTAGATGAAGGGTTTAATGAACATTATTAAATGACATAGAATGGTGAATATAATATATAAGGTATGAAGTTCGGTACATGGGTTTAAATGGATATAAAATGTAATGAGAAATTATACGAAAAGACTTATGATAATTGAATTCTTTATATGAAATAATAAAAAACAATTAACTGATTGTATTATTTTTTACAGTATTTTATACATCGTTTTTATAGTTATAGTTGTTTTTGATAATTTATAATTTATAATAATTGTGACTTCAATAAAATACTGAACTGCTATCTCGTAAATTTGCAGCATTTTAAAAAATTGATATCAATATTTTTATTTTATTCTGTGCATCTTTAGGGCTATCCTTTAGAGATTAAGTATTGGATTAAATTGTAAATAAAACCTAAGAATTAATTCTTGAAAGATAAAAAAGAAGTTTTAAGATTTAGATTCTCTGGAATATATCTGCTTAAATATATAGGTTGAGCAAGTGCTTTATATTTTTGGGTAAGACCTGAAAAAAGATACTTTTTTTCTCCAAAACTAAAATTTCTTCTTATTAATATATGAGATGAAAAATATCAATACAGTCAAGATATACATAATATCAATCCTGTTATCTGTGAGATTTCGTAAAATCGAATCGTAGTTTGATAAGCAGGAAAATATAAACCCAATGGGCTGGATGATTCTTTTAAAGCCACCTAGTATAATCTGACCTAAATTCCAAAAAAAGTAATTTCATACGTATTTTGCTCTAATTAAATACAGATTTTAATTAAAAAAAGATATGTCAGGAAAATTTCTATTTAAATTAAATAAATTGAAAACCTCATAAAAATTTTATGAAAATCTTAAGCTATGTATATTATAATTAGCAAAGAAATGAAAAATATAAAATACTTTCAAGTTTTACACTTTAAAGTAAAGTATTCGGACATCCGAAAAATCAACAGGGTCATATTACTAAACTAAAAAATCAATTATTTTTATTCAGCTCCTAATAAGACCGGAAAAGTCTTCTCTTCATATTCAAAATTTTCATTTAGTTTCGATATTTTATCATTTTCATTCAGAAATTTATCATTTATTTAAAGGCTAATATATTTTATGGCTGGATTGTACTAAATCTTTTAGTTTTTTTCAGTCTTGCAAAATACATATTTCAAATTATATTTTTTATTTTAAAATTAAGATTAAGATACATCTACCAGAAATGACTTTGGTAAAATAACTAACCACTTGACCTAATAGTATTATTGTTAGGTTGTTAAAATTTTTGCTAATTTGAGGAAAAATGTAGGGTCAAGAGATTATTGTCATTAAAAAATCAAATTTCATTAAACTCTCAAATACTATCAAGAGAAAAAAGTTGCATATTTTAAACCTTAAAAGAAACAAAAATGTTAACGAATAAAGTTTGTTTCAAAACAAATATATGATGCAAGTTCTATTAAAATACTTGATATAATTAATTATCGAATATTTCATAGATATTTTATGAAATGACTCAGAAAAACTAATATATAATCAGGTAATTATCAAAAAAATTATAAAAAATCAATAAACCATTAAGTAATAAATTAATATATTCAATACTAAGAAAAACTTTATTTAGAATTTAATCTTATATGTTAATAAATATGAAAAAAACTAACTCAGATTTCTGAATAATCAACCAATTAAACTAATTAAACGTATGACATTAACAATTATTAATATTTATATATTCTATACGTTTCTTGCATATTAAATCAATAAAATATGATAAACTTTATAATATTTATTATTATGCACCATTTAATATTCAACTAAGGAGAAGTATTTCAATTGCATTAGTAGCAATATTTCTAAAATGAATGTTATTCTTTTGAAAAACTCTGGAGTATGCTGTTTAAGGTGATTTGCAAAACAATATCATTTAATAGAGGGCGTAAATCAAACAAAATTAAGTTTATATATTATTTAATAAAGTCTTCAAACAAATATATGCGTTCTTATTGAAACCGTATAATTTAAAAATAAAAAGTAATAATAACAACATATATCTCCAGTTACGATCTATAAAACTTTGTATCTTTAGGAGTAATTATGATTCTAGTATACTTAGATCTTAAGTTATTTAGATAGAAACTAACTTTTTGCATCAGTTTGAGGGTTTAACCAATTATTTATTAGTATAAATTTAACAAGTTAATTATGTTTTAAATTCTTGAATAATTAATCTTAATTTTTGGTATGTCTAAAGAATAACTTGCTGTTGTTATCGATAATGGATCGCATGAATGTAAAGTAGGTATTGCAGGAGATTGTGAACCAAAATGCCCTTTTCCTGCAGTTGTAGGAAAACCAAAACATTAAGGAATTATTATTGGTATTGAAAACAAGTTAGCCTATGTTGGTTATGATGCTTTAAGAATGAGAGGTGTTTTAGAACTCAAATACCCAATGAGCAATGGTATTGTGTAAAATTGGGATGGTATAGAATATGTTAATATATTATATAGATATGGAGAGAATTTGGCATTATGCATACTTCAATGAATTGAGAGTCTTACCAGAAAACCAGCCAGCTCTTTTGACTGAAGTTCCATTGAGTGCAAAGTAGAATAGAGAAAAGATGTCATAAATATTCTTTGAGTCATTATATGTGCCGTCATTCTATGTTGCCAGTACTGCTATGCTCTCACTTTATGCTTCAGGAAGAACAACTGGTATTGTTGTAGATTCTGGAAATAATGTTTCATACGCAGCTCCATTCTATGAAGGTTATGCTCTTCCATATAATGTTCTCAGAATAAATATTGCAGGAAGAGATTGCACAGAATATTTAGTTTTCACCTTAACTGAATTGGGTTTTTAATTCACAAAAACAGCTGAAATGGAAATAGCAAGGGATATGAAAGAGAAATTATGTTATGTTGCTAATGACTATGATGAGGAAATGAAGAAAGAAAAAGAAAGCACTATCGAAAAAAGATCGTATGAATTACCAGATGGACATGTTGTTGTTTTGTAAAATCATAGATTTAGATGTCCTGAATTACTCTTCAAACCAAGCTTGTTTGGTCTTGAATGTTCAAGTATCGATGAATTAACATACAAATCAATTATGAAAAGCGATATTGACCTTAGAAAAGAGCTGTAAAAACTTTAAATTTATATTTTAGTTATAAAAATATTATATTATCAGGAGGCAATACAATGTTTTCAGGATTCGCAGAAAGAATGAGCAAAGAATTAAAGTCACTTTCACCATAATCAAAGAACATACAAGTTGTTGCCTCAGCTGATAGAAAACTCTCAACTTGGATTGGTGGATCAATCTTATCATCATTATCAGCATTCTAAACCATGTGGATCAAAAGAGAGGAATATAATGAAAACGGTCCAACCATCGTGCACAGAAAATGTTTTTGATTCATTTTTTTTCATTCTATATATTTATTTTATAAATATTTAATTTAAAAAAATATATATATAAATAATTCATTTCAAAAAATAACAAAAAATGTAAAAAACATTCATATATAATTTGAATATTAAAATACGTCTAATTTAATTGCTATTATTAATGTTAATTGATGATGTGTTGCTTTAATTCTTCATCATTTTAAATCACCTTTACATATCTATTTTCTAAAATGGTGAAATCTTTTCAAAAAACTTTCTACTTTTCTCTCTAGAAAACAATGATAAGCAACTAAAAAATCCTTAATTGTAGAATAATATCTTAATAAAGGTAAAAGTTTTTTTGAAAACAAATACGTTTTTTTTCCCGACAGATAATTACTTAATATCTGATATCCAAGATTCGAAAAAGGACTAGAATATGACGACTATGTTATTTAGAAGGTTAGCAGTCAATCACAATATTGAAATAATAAAGGTATTGAAACATCAATTATTTTTTAGCGAGTGGCTTATTTAAATTGAAATTATTTGAAGAAAATCTAAAATATTTTTATTTGCAATTAAAACAATTCTTTATGTTGTGATAAAATAAATCCATACTTTAAAAACAGTAACTACATAAGAGCAGAATTTTTAAAATTGTTTTGAAGAACTCCTTTTGAAATATGATTAGTTTATATATTTTTACTACCCTAAAATGTAGATAAGAAGAAGCTTTATTAAAGTATGACAATGCCGAATCGACTTTATCAAATGCACTTAAAATTTCAACCTAAATAATTTATGGATTTGTTTTTTTGTTAATTTAAACCTTCATGAAATAAAGTCTTTAAACAAAAAATTTTATTGATCAAAATAATATGAAGATAATTTTTAACCTTAATTCTTTTTAATTTTAGAAGAAATTTTGCTTATATAGAGCTTAAATAAAAATACAAGGAGGATCAATATAAGAGATAATAATCAAAAATTAAGAGAAAAATTAATGATGATACAATTTAATATTTACTAATTCAAACTAATCTCAGTTTATTTTTTGTTTTTTAATATTTCTAAAATACCTGACAACACATTAATTTTTTTTTTCGTATAAGATATGCTTTTGATAAGCATATAAATTTNTATTTAATTTAAAAAAATATATATATAAATAATTCATTTCAAAAAATAACAAAAAATGTAAAAAACATTCATATATAATTTGAATATTAAAATACGTCTAATTTAATTGCTATTATTAATGTTAATTGATGATGTGTTGCTTTAATTCTTCATCATTTTAAATCACCTTTACATATCTATTTTCTAAAATGGTGAAATCTTTTCAAAAAACTTTCTACTTTTCTCTCTAGAAAACAATGATAAGCAACTAAAAAATCCTTAATTGTAGAATAATATCTTAATAAAGGTAAAAGTTTTTTTGAAAACAAATACGTTTTTTTTCCCGACAGATAATTACTTAATATCTGATATCCAAGATTCGAAAAAGGACTAGAATATGACGACTATGTTATTTAGAAGGTTAGCAGTCAATCACAATATTGAAATAATAAAGGTATTGAAACATCAATTATTTTTTAGCGAGTGGCTTATTAAAATTTAATTATTACTAATAAATTAGTTAAATTGAAATTATTTGAAGAAAATCTAAAATATTTTTATTTGCAATTAAAACAATTCTTTATGTTGTGATAAAATAAATCCATACTTTAAAAACAGTAACTACATAAGAGCAGAATTTTTAAAATTGTTTTGAAGAACTCCTTTTGAAATATGATTAGTTTATATATTTTTACTACCCTAAAATGTAGATAAGAAGAAGCTTTATTAAAGTATGACAATGCCGAATCGACTTTATCAAATGCACTTAAAATTTCAACCTAAATAATTTATGGATTTGTTTTTTTGTTAATTTAAACCTTCATGAAATAAAGTCTTTAAACAAAAAATTTTATTGATCAAAATAATATGAAGATAATTTTTAACCTTAATTCTTTTTAATTTTAGAAGAAATTTTGCTTATATAGAGCTTAAATAAAAATACAAGGAGGATCAATATAAGAGATAATAATCAAAAATTAAGAGAAAAATTAATGATGATACAATTTAATATTTACTAATTCAAACTAATCTCAGTTTATTTTTTGTTTTTTAATATTTCTAAAATACCTGACAACACATTAATTTTTTTTTTCGTATAAGATATGCTTTTGATAAGCATATAAATTTTAAATCTTAGAGAGACAAAGAAAAGATAAAATTGATTTATAAATATGGATAATAAAGTAAAAACTAAGCAAGGTTATGTTTATTAACATATTTAGAACATAAGTTCAATAAATAGGTTATTGAATTGTTGATGTCAATTAATTAATAAGAGAAATCATAAAAAGGATGTGGATAATATTAAAAAACCTTTTATGATTTAATCTACATTTATGATTCTATTTTGGTTTAGATAGATATAAAGAAAAAAACCTCATTAAACTTTAGAACAGAAGAAATAATTTAACAGATTTACAATCTGAAGGATAATTTTATTTAATTCATCTAAATGATAATTAAAATGAACATGACATCTCTACTAAAGAAGCTTAATTGTAGGGAAACACATGAATGTTGGAATTTTATTAATCACTTTAGTATTTAACACTACCCTTTACAACTAATTTTGAATTGGATTTATATATTCAACCTGAAACATACTTAGTTTATAAATGGTTGGATTTAAAATATTAATTATAAAAAATATTCGTATTAATTATGTATAATTAAGAATAACAAGTATCAATTATTAGTATTAGACGACTACTTTATTAAATTTTGGGGTTGATTAATTTTGCCTTTGATATGAATAGATAGTATAGATAATATATCAACACAATAATTTAAAAATTCCAAGATAAAGTTTTAAGTTTCAAACAGAAGTGTATGAAAGAGTTGTTGAGAAGAATTATATTTTTTAAAATATAAATATATTTTTCTAGGATAATAAATTTAATTTAAAGCTAATTATTATTCATTATTCACTAAAATTTTATGAATTCTGTAAATTATAATTTGAATTCATTAAATAATTATGATTTGTGCAGACATTCTACTCTATTGAAGATACAATCTTTTAATAATTGTTGCTTTCATTATGATCAGTTGCAGTTGATCTTTCTTCATTTTATTATTTCTGCATGTGCCACTACTAGTTGTATACCCAAGCATTTAAATTTTTTACTAACGAAATAAATACAATTCTTATCTTCTATAAACAACCAGATAACTAAGAATCACAATCAGCTTAAACCTACAACAGTATCATATTTTTAGTAAGCACTTTAAAATACAGAATCATTTGAAATTTAATTCTTAAATGAGTAACTGTTTAATAACTTCTAATACATTTGAAAAATCAAATAATTTAAATATCATGAAAATAATTTAAGCTTCTAAATTTCTAACAAAAATACTATTAAAAAAACGATTGCTGATGAAAATAGTTCCTTTGTTCTAAACAAAAAATAAATAAAAATCCATTTCTCGATTATTTTTTATATCAAAAGAAGTAATTATGCAACTTATTAAAAGATTAAAAAAAAATATTATATAATTGATAAGGTAATTTATAAGGATGAATAAAGGATTCTTCAAATCAAATAACTTATTTAAACAGAAATATTTAGAATGAAGTTAGAAATATAGTCTAGAGTATACAAAGTTGTTATATATTTATTTATCTCAAGTTTAATCAGATTAAATGGAGAGTTTCTGAATTGAAAATAATTCAACTACATTTTGTTAATAGTTGAACAGTAATTAAGAAATTTTGCATTCTGATTCTGAGATTTTAAATATCAATTCTTAAAAAGCTATTGAAGCAGGTAAAAGTGTTATTGAATAAACAATTTCTTGGAAGGAGTCCAAACATTTGAGGATATATGGATTCGGAAAATTTATGAGAGGAATATTTAAGTTAATTTTCAACTACTCATTTTCATTACATAAAGTATGAATATTTAAAGTAATATCGTTTTCTGTTTTGTCTATAATCTACATTATTTCTCCAAGGGAAGTTATTTTCTCAGCTTTTCCTTCAAATAAAATTTAAAAAGAATTTATGTAATCAATTCTGCTATCAATTATTTGCTTTATCTTAATTTAACTGATTTCATAAGGTTTCATGTCAGTGATATGTTAGAATTTCATCCACTAAGGAACATGATACCCAACTGGAATGCAACAACAATCTATTATATATCTCTAAAATTACCTGTAATTAACTCAAACCATTAAAAGGATTAATCTGAATGATATATTTTTTTGAATTTCATTCTATCAACTGCATCATAATAAAATCCATTAATTGGAATAATAAACCATGATTTTTCTATGAGAGGGAAATGTTAACTAACAAAAGGAGAATTTATCTGTAAAAGATCATATTAATTGAAAATCTCATCAATGCCTAAAATTATTTAATAACTTAATTTAATAAGATTTGTTATTAAATTTTATGGATCGGTAATTGTGATAGTTAAATTTTTAGTTGTTATTTCAGTTACCTTTACATTAAATTATTTTTACCTAAACTTTAAAACTAACTGGCCCTGAAAAAGAGAAAGAAATAACAGATATAAAGTATTTTTGAGCATTACTATTAATATGATCAAAAGTTTTTTTCTCGAAATTTTGTATGTTAAATTGATTAATAACTTAAACTCTTGCATCATCAATTGCTAACCATTTTAAATAAATTCCATAAACCATTCCTTCTGTACATGTTATGCTGAGAGAGAATTCTATAATTCAAAAATTCTTTTTTATACTTGTTAATGTAATTTCAGTAATTTTAAGATTATAATTTGCTCTGCTTCCAGGAATATCATATAATTCTGGAATCAGAATTACATTTGGAATATTCTGAAAAGAGTCTCTAAATTTTATGTCTTATGTTCTTCCCATATTATTGAAGCAATAGAATCCTTTGTTTTTAATTTAAAACGATCTAAATGTACTTTCATCGTATGTGATGTAAGTAGTTTAGCTGAATATCACTTGTTCCTAAGTAAGAAAATAAAAAATTAAATAGAACATTTATTTATATTTAATTTTTTTTTAAAAGCAAGAAATTTTATTAGGTATTCTAAAAAATATGAAGTGATGGATATAGTAAAATTTATTCTGTTTATTTAGGGTCTTTAAAATATTATAAATGCTTAAAATTTATTTTTAAAATAAATAATTTCAATATATAAACTGAATTGAAATGGAAAGTAAAGTAGAATTAATTTATTTCTATTTACAAAATATTATTTATCATTTTATTATGAATAGAAAAAATATAATGATATTAGTTTTAATTTTAGGTCAATATGGAAAACTATATAAATGGAATAATTATAAAATTGTTGTAAAAACATAAACATTTTATAGTGCATCTATGGATATATTTAAAGATGAAACATGCTATTTGTATCAGAAAGAAGGAATTACGATGTTTAGAATATCTAAAGAAATTTTGAGTGATTGTATTTACTAAGAATCCAAGAAAGATCCAAATAGAAGAATCAAGATTTGATTATAATAATTATGAGTGATTATATAAATTTCTATATTTTAGTGTAAAGTCTAAATTTAAATATTTGATTCTTATTATGAAAAATTAACATTTATATCAATTAAATTTATTTTATAAAATTCTTAAATTCATCTACCATGTGTAAAGTATTTATCAAAACTCTCATCTTAACTATTTCCATCTTTTAATCTCATTAAGATTTCAGGTTGCTATCTAACATTTTCATCTATAACCATATTTAAAATTTAACAAATTTCAATTATTTACACAAAATTATTTTCAAAGAAAGTAAGAGTTAAATTTTGATTTTTTGATAATTTAGATACTTTTTCTTCTTGAAAAAAGAGATGAAAAGATTTATTTTTTTTAATTTATAATAAATTAAAAATGCTCAGATATTATGTGATAGTTATTCTTTTTGCAATTAGCTTAAATTATTCTAAGAAAGAATTTAAATTTTGCTCAAGATAAAATAAAATAAAAACATAAATTAGAGGCAATTACAAAAATGTGATAAGCTATGATGAAAGTCCTTTATTGACAAGTCGAAAATAAAATTATATTTAATTAAGTGGATCAGGAATTCTATTTAGAAATGAAATTTATGGAGCTTATTAAAATTATCTAGGGACTTATTGTGGTAAAGGCAAGTCAATTGTTATTGAATTAAGACAGGCTTTTGAATTAAATACATTAAAAATTATGTTACGAAATGGTGATGTTCGTACCTATGATTTTATAGTTTATGCATCCGATTCAAATAAAGAAACTGTAATATTTGATGGAATCAATTACTATAATGAAGTTGCCAAAATCAAATTTTAAAATTAGTTTGTCAAATATTTTAGAATTTTTAATAGAAATGGGAATTCAGAAACTGCTAATATTAATATAATCAAAATTGAGGCTTATTTTTAACTTTGAAACAAAGGCTTATTTTAGTAATTAGTTTTTATTTTTATTATATTGTTGATATTCATCATAATATAAAAATAAACAATTTTCTAAATTTCTCTTACGTTAATATGATTTTATGTTATTAAAAAATAATGAAAAAGAGTCTTTATCCTAAAATTATGTAAGTCGATAGAAAATTTTATTTAAATTAGAACTGAAAATCTAACTTTATTAAAAAAAGTAAGATAAAAATAGAGATCTATAATTCAAATATGTTTAAACTGCATTATATTAGAATTAAAATTAAATTTTAAATTATAAAAAAATCATAATCATTTTTTGTTCATTCTCCTTCTTATTATTTCCCTATTAATTACTTGATATGAAGGATTATTGTTCATTTTTCTTTCTGATAGTATTTATATGGTTTTTTCTCATCTCCACATTCACTTTTATAAAATTTATTATTACCTACTCATGCAAAATTTGTTCCATTAGATTTTTCCCAATGAATTTCGTCTTTCAAAAAACTTGCACCATTTTTACATTAATCATTAAGTTGAATTGATTAAAGTTTTTTTACACCTTCATAGAAAGTTTTTAATATTGTTTCCTATTTTCTTTTTACATCTTGAATAACACATATTGTTCAATATTTGTAATTTATCTTGTTTTCTATCTTCTGATATAAATAGCTCTTTCTGCCATTCCATCTAAACTCAATCATGCTTATCGATAATTCAAATTTAATGTCTGGTATTTTGCTACTATAAAGATTACTAAAAGGATTCCTTTTGAGTATAGTTTTCTTTTTTTGATCTCTTAAAAAAATCTGATATTCTTATTTATTAAAGCATGTATTTTCTTGTAGCTACAAACTCTGTTGGTAAAATTGGTTGAAAATTAGGTTAACATGAGTTTTTAATTATATCTGATCAAATCCTATTGAAATTTATATAATCAATATTTTTTATCAATTTTTTATTCTTCATAAATTTTCATAACTTTTTTCATTTATTGTATTGATTATTCTATTTAAATCTTAAATAATTTTCATTCATATTTCTTTAAAAAATTCAAATTAGGTTTAAAAAATTAAATAAATTTTGTCCTCTATTATAGGATAAGAATTGTAATTTATATTTTTAACACTTTTTGACTAAAAGATTATTAACAATTTTAAAATTAATTAATTCCTTGAATTTAGTTAATTTTAAAGTAATTAAAAAAATTATTGGTTTAAACATTAACTTCGCTTAAAAAGGGAAGCTCATTCAAACAAAATATTGTTAGTGACTTTGTAAAATAATTCTAATTATATTGAACTAAAGTATAAAAATAGGAATTAATCTTAACTTTCTAATCAAATAATTTTATATTTTACTTAAAATATGACAATTGTTTGTCTACTTGACATAGTATTTTATAAATTTATTGATAAAAATTGATTATAATTTACATTAAATAACAAATATAATAACTAGCATCTAATAAAGGTTTATTATATTAAAAACAAGATAGATGGTATCAAAAAAAAAGGATTTTTTTAAAGATATCTCAATATTCATAATTAATTAATTTTTATTAAATCTAAAATAAAGAAAAGCAATGACTTAAACATAATTATTAATAAAGACACATCTATGTATAATATTTATATGATTGCTTGAATCATTCACTATTTAATTTAAAATCAGGTAAGAATTTTGCCTGCTTTAGTTAAATTTGCTTTTTCTCTTATTCTGATTTAGAAGAAAATATAGGATTAGCAGGCGCATCTGAACCTTCTACCCAATTTGGATTCGCAAATATATGTTCAATTGCTTGTAAAATATCATAAGGAATATTGCTTTGATTCCAAACTTAATCGTTCAACATTGGAATGCATAATGAATGATCTACAAAGAAATAAATTTTTACCCCCATAAATATTTTCATGCTAGATTACTTAATCGACTTAACCATTTGATTGTACAGGATTAAAATAGAATTTTGGAGGTCTTGCAGGATGATCTGGTTAAAATTTTAAAACACCTAATATTTATAAATTAGCCTTACCACTAATTTTCTTTCCTTTAAAAACATTTTAGCCCTCAAATTCAAAATTCCAAAATTATTCTATAACCACATCTTTGTCCATATAAGCAAATAAATTATATTTATTTCCATTTGTTAAAATAGTCATTAATGTCTCATCTAACAGACTAGAAAAAAATGGTTGTCTCTAAGAAATAAATATTTAAAAATACATCTTGATCAACTTTGATATCTGGTAAAATTTTGATTTTATTTTGTTAAGGTTAGGCTGCAGTATTAGAAAGGATTTTAATTTTTTGATTTTACATGATATTAATTTATAAAAATATGAAAAGGAATTAAGCATTTATCGTATTGATTGTATTTTAATATTATTAGATTTAATGAGGCTTCTTATTCTAATATTTTTATAATAGAATTTCATAATTAATTAAAAAGAATTGGATTAATGAATTATTCTAATTCAATTAAAGATTATACTAATTAATTAAAAATTAGATATAATATTGAAAAATAAATATTTATAAGTTATTAATATCAGATTAGAATAGTGCAAAAATTTTTCAAGAAAATTTTTCAAGATTAGTTTGTTGCTTTGTCAAAATTTTGATTACAAATTCTTCTTTGAAAGTCAATACAGGAGCTGAATTTGATTTTTTTATTTTTTTTTTATCTATTCTTAATTTAAACTATTATTGAACAATTTTATATTCATTTATATTCCATTTTTACACTTTAGTAATTGAGATAATTTCAAAAACTAAAGCAAACAAAAGAATTTATATGATTAATCCAATAAAAAAGCTAAGAACAATTCCAATTATACACGCAACAATAAAATTCTCATTTTAATACATAATAGCTGCAAGGGTAATTCCTAATCCATATAAAAAAAGACTTAAAATAAAAAAGCCAAGCAAACAATATTTTTAATTTATAGGAATTCTTAACAGCTATGAAAATTCGTATTTTTATTAAAATTACACTTCACAGTGAAATGTTTTTTTGCATAATTCACAAAATACCTAAAATGAATTTTAAAAAAATTACTCTACTGCCAGCTATTTCGTCGATTTTATGATTTCTTAAGAGCCAAGTTTTTAAGCAATCTTCATGAACATACTGAATAGAACCTTTACATTCACAAGGTTTGATAAATACGCTTGTCTATCCATCTTCTAAACAGATTCTACAAATAAATTTATCTTAATTAATCTATATATATATTTAGATAACTACATCATGTTAATCATGTTGTGGAACTAATTTTCTATTTTATACTTAATTGCTTAAATATAATTTCACTTTTCTTATTGTTTGAGGATTTAAATTCACATGAACACTTTTGTTTTAAGTATCCTAAATTAAGAACTATATTAACTTTGACAATTATTGTCTGCATTAACATTTTTTAGGACTCAATTCTTGGAACAAAGAGTATTTGACCAGTCTAAAATCCTAATTCAATTAAGTCTTATTCTAATGTATTTTACTATTATCCATTATTTTCACTTTAATCTAAAGATTATTGCTTAATAAACACTCTGTTTTTATGAGAAAATTACATATTAATTTTATATCAAAAAATTTTATTTAGATTAAAAATTTCTATCTTAAATCATACTCTTTTGAAAAACATATCAATAAACTCTAAATATTCTATCTCTCCATCTTAATCTCTATCAACTTCGTTAATTAATAAGGAGCAATATTCTTTAGTAATATATTTATAATTTTCTATTTTGGATAAAATTTCCCAAAGATTTTCATTTGAAATTTTCCCTTTGTTATTCAAATCAAATATTTTAAAGGTGTTATATATTCTTTCTTCATCTACAAAAACTCTTTTCTCTAGTATCTAATTCATAAAGTCTATTATTGTTTTAATTGAATCTACCTAAATAATTAATGGTTCCATCTTCAGTTTATACATATTTTAATAATTTAAGAATATCTTCATGTTCTTTCTGTTTTTCAAGAGCTTTTTATATTAAGTCAATTTTGATGAATCCACTACCTGAAATATCTAATTAATCAAAAATTAATCTTAAATTTTCTGCTAATCCTTATTTTACTTAATCAGCAACATACCCTCTCATAATCTAAGTTAAAAATTTGTTACTTTTTAAAGAAAATTATTTTAAGTTAACTCTTTTAATTTGCAAAAGTTTATATCTAATTTTTCTTCTTCTTCATTAAATTATTGACTCATCCATTAATGTTTTTAAATCTAAAATATTTAATATCTTTTTTCTTATGGTTATAAGATTTTCTAAATGAGATCAGAAACAGTTCCTTTTGTTTTTAATTAAATTTTATTCTCTTAAATATTCTTATAAATTTCATTTTCATCTTTCCCATCAAAAGGTAAATCGCCTGTAAGCATAACATGCAATAATACTCCAGCAGCCCATATTTCACTTTTCTCTGTTAATTTTCCATTAAATATTTCAGGAGCTGTAAAATATAACTAATTTTATTAATTATCAAATACTTTTCCTTATCGAGATGTTTCTATTATTTAATTATTAGATTTCTTTATATAATCATCTACATATATAAGTTAGAATCCAAGATCAATTAATTTAATATCTAAATTATTAATATCTCTATTTATAAAATGAAAAGATTCAGGCTAACTAATAAAATATATTCAATACCCTTAAATCTCTTTAACATAAAGCAGATCTATGCGCAATATTAAGAGAATTTATGATTTGTTAAAAAATATACCTAGCTTCTCCCTATTTAAGTCGATATCTCAATAAAATCTTTTCAAATAATGACCCTCCATCACAATATCTGTTTTATATTATATAGAGATTACTCCATTACAAAATATAGATTCTTATCATCCTCAAATAATTCAATTAATCTTGTAATATTTTCATGATTCTACATTAAATTTAACAAATTACTAAATAACGCAATTAGTTTATCTCTTATTTAAATCTTAATTAGTTTATAATTTTAATTTTAGGAACAACCTTAACAATTCTAATTTAACCATCTTTTTTTTTCTCTTTATATTTAATAACCTGACCATATTTTGATGGACCTAATGACTTAAAGATACAATTTAATTGTTTACTTTTCTTCCATCTATTTCATAATGATCTTTTAATTTGCTTTATTTACTCCAAGCAAACCATAAATTAGATAAATTTAACATAAATATTATTATCAAATCATGACTAAAAATAAATTGCTAGCAAAAAATAGTAGAAAAGAAAGCAAAAACATTTAAAATTCCATTATATTACCTTCTCCTATACATTTTCCAACCCAAGGACAATGATGATCATATCCTCTTACACAAATATCACATTCATAACAATGATAAGTTCCTTATTCTTTTTCTAATTTACAAGGTTAACATGATTCTTTAATGATATATATATTAAATTGATACTTTCAGTTTTCACAACTTTTGTTAATGTAAAATTAACTCCAGGATTTTTCAAAAATACTCTCAAAAAGCATATTTCCAATATTAAGCCACTCATTATGGATCCTAAACTATACCATATTCCAGATTTGATATAAATAGTTGCACTTATAAAATAGGTCCCAATCATAATAGAAATTATCACACAAAGACTCAAAGGCCCTATTTTAGTAAATAGACTTACAGTGAGGACCTATTGTTATTTATGGTTGACCATCACAAAATTTAAACATAAAGTTATTACCATAATGAGGTTTAAATGGTATATCATTTTCTATTTCAAGTATTCCATTTGTTTCTTCTTTATGAATCCTAATTGAATCATCTTAAAAGAATCCATCTTATTATTTCATCTTTTTTTTTATTTAAAAATATATTATAAATAAATAATATTCAAATCATTGCTGGATTTATTTAATTAAGAAACTCTATGGTTTGATCTATACATTATTATGCTTGTTCTTTTAATTCAATATTTATCATTCCTGCTTAATCTACTAGTTCAATCAATTTTTAATTGTTTTCTTCCAATCTTGAAAAAGTATTAGGCAACATACTCTTTGATTCAATTAATAATTCATTCTATTATTAATAACTATTTATTACTTATTTCTTTATTTTTAATGAGTTTTCTTCAATATCTTATATTCCCTATAAAACATTTTCGAATTATTAGATTTCATTTTTGTATGCCAAGTATTCTTTTTAAATTCTTCCAGATGCTGCTATTAATACTTTTATTTTTTTCTCTAAAGGTGCTTCAGCCATTTTAATTAATTTAATTATTTATCAATCCTTTTCGCTTAAAAAGTGATCCTAAAATAATCATAAAATTTCTTTTATAAAATTTTATATCAATTCTGTTAAAATATTTATTAATTAATTATCATTATTGTAATTTTTATTTATATAAATCTCATTAAAACATGAAACGAAAATATAATAAACTCTTTAAAACTGAGGTAGAAACAGATGCATTTGGAGATCTTGAAACTATTCAAGACTTTGAATCAAAATTAAAATCATTTATTGATAATTCATAGAAAATTACTAAAACTAAAATGAAAGTATAAATGAAAGATTAAAATTCATAAAACGATTTAGATTTTTAGGCTATTTTATTAGATAAAATAATTAGAAAATCAATGACAAAAAAGGATCTCAAAACTAAATATATTGATGTTTGTTAGGAATTTGGAATAGATTATTATTAATTATTTAAGCTAGAAACATTAGAATAGAAATAAAATTATGCCATCTAATGTGCCACAAAATAAATATCTAAAAGTTTAGAAAATCTATTTGCTAAATATAAATAGGAAAAACATGAACCTTCTATTCCTAATATAAATAAACCATTAGATCTATATGGATGGATGAAGGTTAAATCTCAATATAAAAAACTCAAGAAAATCTTACAATATGCTTTAATAGAACTTGTTTATTAAAATTCTAATCAAGATAAAGTAGTTATTTGATAATTATGAAAGATCAAAATGTTTTTTGCCTATATCAATCATTTCATATAAAAAAGACATAAAACAACTGAAAGTCTAAATTTTAGCACTGCTCATACATCAAGAGTACGAACATAACAAAATTTTGAGGAAAAATTATATTTAGATCCTCCTAAATTTTAATTTTCTCAACCAGATTTATTTTTTGAATGGAATCAAGCAATTGAATAAGGTTATATATCAAATGATAATAATATACATAAAGTTGGATATGAATAAATGAAGAAATAAAATAGCAAAGGTGTTAATTATTAAAAAAGAGAGAAATTATTAGATTAATGTTAAGAAGGCAATTATTTAACTGCAGATGAATTGAAGTTTTTAGCATCTACTTCATTTTTAATAAATAAATGCTTAGATAAATAATTTATTTAAAGAGCTATTAATTTTTTAGATTCATCAGTAATAAATATAATTAATTTAGGTTATTCATTAAATTGAAATGAATATAGCAGAATAAATATTATAAACTTTTTATTATATGAAGAGAAATCTTATTTAATACAGAAAAGAATGGTTAGAGAAAATAAATAAAGAGAAACGAAAGAACATTAGTAATAACTAAAAATAGATATTTTAGAAATTAATTATGAGTTAAATTAAAAGAAAAATTAATTACTTTCAAATTCAAATCAGATAAGAAACATAAAAAAGAAGATTATCAATTAATTAAGAGATGTTGCAAAAAAGAAACAACTTTAAAATGAAGCAGAAAGAAAAAAAGAGAAATATTTGAGAGTTTAGAGAAGAATGGGTAATCCATTAGCAAATATATACGTTTAAAAGTTTAAGGAAATAGTTTTGTAAGTGATTAGTAAAATAAGAGAAGTATTAAATATAATTAAAATAGAAAAAAGTATCTGATAAAGAAAGGTAAAAAGAATTTTTACAAAGGAATGAAGCTAAACCTCCTCCAAAAGCTATTTATAAAATTGGAAATGAAATATATGATGTAAGTAAATCAAAAAGAGCTTTTCATCCTCCTTCAAAAGTAATGACAACTTTATCAGAGGATAAATATAAAGTTTAAAAACCAGAAATTTAAAAATAAGAGATAAAGAGATATAAATTAGGAATTAGAAATTATACAGTTACATAAGATCAATTTAAAAATTATTATGCAGGAGGACCTCAATTGCCAAGATAATTTTAATCTCCAGAATTATAGTATTTAAATAAAAATGATGAATCTGATACTAATTTTCCAAGAAAGAATAATTGGATAACTTCAGAAGCTGAAGTTTAAGCTGCTAATAAAATTAAGTTTGCTATAAAAAGATACATACAGAAGAAAGCTTTAAATAAATTAATAGTTAGAAGTGAAGTAAAAAAGAACAGAGATATTGAAATGAAAATAAGAAAATGCATGTAAGCAAAAAAGTTTTTTGAAGAATTACATAAAGAATTAGACAAGAGATAAAGTGAAAGATTAAAAGATATATCTAGTCATTTACCACCAAAATTACCAATTGACAAAATAGAGAAGATTCCATCTTAAGGTGCTTTAAGTATAGGAGTAAAAAGTAGTGGTTAAATATCATAAACATAAAGAACAACAAAAAGATTACAATCTCATAGATTAAGTTTATATAAATATATTCCTACATAAGAAAAAGTTGATGAAAATTCATTGGTATTTGTAAAATTTTATTAAGTTAAGGATACAGCAAGAAGAGCAGAATTAGAAATCAAAGAAATTGCAAGAAAAAAGAAAATGATGAAATTCTCTAAATAAAAAGAAATGAGTGAAGCTAAATTGAAAAATAGGAAATTAATTGTAGCTGCTAAAATGAAGAATTTATAGGTTGCTATGACTTCAGGATTTCAATATAATTAAAGAGATACATAATTATGTGATCGATTTGGAAATACTCCTCTCTATTATTGTGCTAAAAATGGAGATGAATAATTTTGCAGATTTTTGCTTAATTTAGGTGCGAATGTTAATTAATAATGTGAGAATCTCAATACTCCATTGCATATGGCATTTTAGTCAGAAAGCAAATAAATTATTATTGATTTTATAAATAAAGGTGGTAATTTGAATATGGTGAATGCAGATAAGTGGACTCCATTAGCTTTTGGATCTGAAGAATTATTAAAGTCTTTAAATTTATGCAATCTTGTTGCAACTGTAATTATTTAACTATTTGTAGACATAATTTAAGAATTTAGAATCTGATAATAATAATGTATTTTCAAAGAAAGAACCAAGATGGATAGATTAATAATTTGAAGATACATTAGTATATGATAGATACAAATATAAAACAATAATTTGATTATATATAATGAGGTGTTAAATATAAATTTTAATAATATTTTCTATAATCTAATATTGATATTATTTTATATCTTCTGTTTGATCTAAATGAAAAAGTAGATTAATAATTTGAATTGTTTTTCTTGGAGTAGGATTAGTTTAATATATATTTTGTTTATTTTACATGCTTTTTGATTATTCTTGTTATTTAACAAAGTAGTATTTCTTTAATTATTGACTTTATTTATTATGGATAAATTTGGAATTTTCATATTATCTATTTTGTTTAATTTTGTTTAATAACAGACAAATTAATTATAATTTAATTTGAAAATCTTATCTAAATATAATAAGAAATGATCCTATTTGAAAATTAGATATTACGAATAAAGATATGATACTTTTTGAATTATATATTTATTTTATCAAACTTTAGTGTGATGTTTATTAATCTTGTTGCTATCATTTTTGATAGATAATAAATCTAAATTTCAAGTTATTCTTAATAATAAATTAAGAATTACAAGATAAGAAATAATGATATAATAAGAAATGTGTATATTTTTCATTATTCTTCTGCTTCATCTTCTATAACATAATCTGGAGGAAGTATAATTCTAATAAAATCTTCCATTCCTAATTTTCCATCTTTATCTTGGTCATGTAATCGAAATAAGTCTTCAACCTCTTTGGCAGTGAAACCATAAGTAAAAGTCTTTTTAAGATCTTCTAAAGAGATATCTAAATTTTATAAATAATAAGTATTACATCCTTTGTTATCTTGATCAATAAGATCATAAATCTACTTAATTCTAATCATACTACTTTTAGGTAATACTCTCTTTCTTTTCATTTATTTAGTGTCATTATTTTTGAGAACTTCCAATTCTATACTTTCTTTTGAACTTTTTGAGAATACTTCATTATATTGTTTAATCCAATTATTAATCATTTCTAATTAAACTTTGGTTAATGATGGATATAATTTCAACATTAATTAATCAAATGTAACAAATCCCTTTTATTTTGAATCTAAATAATTATACAAACTTGCTGTTACTCTTTTCATATGAGGTTTATTTTAAAAGGCCTTAGTAAAATCTTTTACTCCAATAACCTTATTATTATCAGAAAGAGAATCAAAATAATTCTTAACTCTAAATATTTCATTTCTTGTTAATGTACACCCTTTAGTAATAATAATGTTTTTCATTATCCTACCTTAACTTTTTACTCTCTTACCTAATTATATAGGATTCTAAGCTGGATGATGCATACTTTAAGATGGCTTCTCTGTTGATAAATCATATTTCTTTTAATGTTAATCTAGTGCTTTTTCTAAAATGTTTAGTTCCTCCAATTCTTCTTCCATATTTAATTATTTTTAAGGTTGGATTTTTGGTAATGATTAATTTCTTTATTATTATATTGAATAAATCTATTGTTATTATTAACTTTTAGTATTAGCCATGTAACTAAATTTATTCCTTTTTCCAACCTAATCATTTAAACTCTTCATATAATATTCATTCTTATTTGATTTGGTAATCATTTCTAACATGTTTTCAGCCTCTTGTTCAGTATAAGCTCGGAAAGAACGAAAAGCTTCAAAGGGCTCTTAAACCTTTTATTTAGGTTCATACATCTGAAATAATTATAAACCAGTAGGATTATTATCTAACCATTCTATTATTCTAAATTTAGATTATTAATTACTCGCTTAACTCTAAAGAATTATCTACTTAAATATCACTTTTCAGAAACATTAATTTCGCAAACTTCTCCAACTATATGTAGGATGGTAATTCAGCTTCTGTTAACTTACAATATCCTAAAATAATTGATTTAAATATAATCAGTAATTCATTCAAACTTATATTTCCACTACAATCTAAATCAAATACAATATATAAGACTAATATATGTAGAAAACAATAATTACAATGAACTTTATGAATGTAATGAGTATAGGAAGTGATTGTCAAAACACATATGAATTCATAAATTGAGAGAACTTTGTTGCCAATACAAAACTAATCAAAAATGAAGCTTGCATTTGATCGGCTAAAAGGTACAATTTTACAAAATATATTTTTATCAATAAAAGGAGAAGTAGATCTTCTCTAAAATTATTCATAAACTTATCTTATTTCCATCAATGACCCTAATATAATTCATTCCATTACAGTGTAATAGCTATTTAAGGTTTGGATTGACATCTTTTGTAATTTCAAATTTCAATTCCATTCTACGTAAATGCATAGGAAGATTGCTAATTGTGCCTGTTTCATCCGCATTTGGATTTGAAGAGACGCTTCCCATTATTATTATAATAATTAAAATATAATTAAAACTGTCTAGATTCATCTATTCTTTTTTTATTCATTTTAAGTAATCACTTAATAGTTTTCCTTTAGATTTAAAAAAACTCAACATTTTAGTAAAGCTTTGAATATAAATATGATGAATTAAATGATTATTATTAATTTTCGTTAAAAATAAATATGCTTTATGTTTAAGAAAGTAGTGGTTACAGAAAATCTGTACGAAATAGTTTATCTTCTAGTCGAAATCAATAAACAAAGATCAAAACTAGTTAATAATGTGAGGATATTTTACTTAATATAAATTCAATGATGAATAAATTAGATTATTTGTAATAGTCAATTGAAAATAGAAATCATTATACAAAAGTACAATTAAAGAAATACATTCCTTAAAACTACTTAAATGAAGGTATACAAAAATTGAGAAATAATAACTAAAATATCTGTGTAATAGGAGATAAAGAAAATAATAATGAGAAATTGAATTGTTATAATTTGATAAATCAATTAGAAATCCCATATAAAACAAAATCAGATTTCTCTCGAAGAAGATCTTTTGCTAATTGAAACCTTTAGTTATACTTAACATATCAATTAAATTTATAAATAGTCTAATATTGAATTGATGGTGTAAATATGTTATAATGTTCGATACATTGACTAACTCAATCTCTCTTTTAATTTCCTCCTCTGGTATTTCTATTTCCTTAAGGTCTTCTTTATTCTCTGTTATCTCTATTGTCTCTATCACCTCTATTGTCTCTATTTTCTCTATTATCTCTATTTTCTCTATCACCTCTATTGTCTCTATTTTCTCTATCACCTCTATTATCTCTATTGTCTCTATTATCTCTATTATTTCTGTTATCTCTTCTATTGTTGTTGGTATTTGGTCTTGGGTCTTTTCTGACATATTCAACATCAGAGTATTTTTTACCATTTTAGTTGACAACAACTAAATCATCCTATAATATAGATTGCTTAATTTACTTTTTCAGGTGTTATACGTCCGAATTAATCAAGTGAAAGTCTGTGTCTTTCTTAGATGACTTCAGACAATCCGTTTCTCCATGCATAACATTTACCTTTTTCAAGAATGTTGGCATATTCTCCAATAACTCTGAATCTAATAACTCCTGTATCATCTCCAGCCAATCCTTCAGCAACAACTAAAGTTGATCCGTCATATCTTTTAATTTGCTCTTTCTTGATATCTTCAATCTAGGATATTCAAATTTCATTTCTTACTTTGACGAAGGTATTATATCCATGAATTCCTGGTCTAACTTCGCTGAGTTTTTCAACTACAATGCTATACTTATAAATATACATTTTGGTTTTGTTAATTGACGAGTTTAAGGTGGTCTATTTTAGGAAGCCATTGAATAAATATATTAAAAGATTTAAATACCTTGATTAATATTTAATTTTTTTTTCAGATTTATATTACAAATTACAAAAGAAACATATCAAATCAATATAAAATACATATCAGTATTACTTAAACAAAGAATTCTTATTTAATCCATATGATTCATCACTTAAATTCATATATACCAATCGTCCTAAATTTACTAAACTTAATACTTGCATTTTATGATATATTTTTTCGACATGCTATAGATTTTTGTGTTTATGTTAATTAATTATCTCTTTCATAATAAGATTTCGTTGCTATAAGTCTAGCTACTATTTTCTTATTTAAATAATCAAATAAATTTTACTTCATTTTCATCTTGCATTCTATCTCTATCAGTATGTAATTACTTGCTGCTTTTTAAAACATGGGATATATCTTTATAAGATTTAACAAGCTTCTATTTATTAAGATTGCTACGGTGAGAATTTATGTACAACATTCTTCTTAATAAAGCTGAATTACTTCTATTTATTTCTGCATAGTTTTATTACATAAAAATAACTATATATATTACTAATATTTATTAGTTAATCTTGAAGTAAATTTATGCTTGTATGGAGTTCCATTATCAATTGTAGCTTTGGCTTTATTCACTATTTTAATATGTCTATCATATGACTAAAATCATATAGTAATTTTATTACATAGGCTTATTATTTTAGTTCTATGATTTTACTTGAACTAACATAATTCCACATATTTGAAAGCTAATGATCAATTAAATTTTATATAATTTTTTATTTCTAAATATATAACAATATTCTTAGTTTTAATTTGAGCTACTCTCTTTAAATCTCTATTCTAGTATTTATAATCAAAAACAATTGATTTATAAAATTCATTCTACTTTATCAATCAATTAATCTTTTTAATTTAATTTCATGATGAATTATTTTAATGCTGCCTTTATGGTCTTTTTGACTGTACAAATTACTTATTCAGCTCATACACTTAACTTAGTGTAAGATGAATAAGCATTATGCTTAGATGGATCAAGAGGAGTATGATTATTATAAAATATAAAAAGTCATTTTATTTTGATAGAGGAAGTGGAAGTGGAGCTAAGTCTTGGATTATTTATTTTCAAGGAGGAGGTTGGATAGGCGGAAAAAGTTTAGAAGCTACAAAAAATGATGCCTTATCAAGATCTAAAACTGAAATGGGATCATCAAAAAATAAGGCCTAATAAGTAAATATAGGTGGAATCTTCTCAAGAGATTCTAAGATAAATCCTGTGTTATATAATTGGAATTCTATTTATATTAACTATTGTGATGGAACAGGTAATGATTATATATTGATCTCTTAGGACATTAAGGATATGCTAAAGATCCTATAATTGTTAATGGAGTCAATCTTTATTTTAGAGGTAATTCAATTACAAGATCTATCATAAATTAATTCTTGAATGAATTAACTTAAGCTGACAAAGTAATTGTATCTGGATGCTCAGCAGGAGGATTAGCATCTTTTACTTGGGTATAAACAATCAGAGATTTATTACCATAAAGTGTAACAGTATTGAAGTACTCTTAATTGTTATTTATTATATAGTGTACCAGATTCTGGAGTGTTTTAAGATTTATAAACATATGATGGTTCAATTTCTTATAAAAATACTTATCATACTAATTTCATGTAATTGTCAAATAGTGAATTATCTCCACCAAATACTAGATGTGTCTAATCTAATCCAAATGAATAATGGAAATGCTTATTTGCTTAATATTTAATAGAATATATTGATACCCCAATCTTTTTTGTATAATCACCATATGATTCATGGTGTATTCCAAATATTTTGAAATTATCATGTGCAAATGATGGAACATTATTAAATTGCAATTAAAATTAAGTAAATTTCATTGAAAGTCATGCTATAAGTATGGAAGTGATGATGAAATCAAGATTCTCTACTCATTATAATACTGGTGCTTTTGGACCTGCCTGTTTATAACATTGGTATAAAATATCAATTTATTATTTTATAGTTTTCTTGAAAGCTCTTATTATCATGGTACAAAATTCTAAGTTCCTTCAGGATCAGGAAATACAATTGCCAAGACTTTATCATCATGGGTTTTAGATTAATCTATCTCATCCAATTATTTAGACTTTGTATCATGGCCTGATAATACTGGATGTAATAATTTATCCATAGATAATTGAAAATCAATTCATCTTAATTATTTAATTTATAATGTTTCATAATTATATATATTTTTCATTTTATTTTCTTAATTCATATTATTACAAATTATCCATTTTTATTTTTCTCTTATCAAATTCACTTTATTTTATTATTGACTTATTATTATTACGTTTTAATTGTTCCTCTTTCTATTGAATATTTTTATTTAAATTTTATTTTTATTAATTTTTTAACTGATTCATTTTTGCAGCCATTATATGCTGAACTTAAACTAACAATTCACTTATTTTTGATTAACAAACTGAACAAATCCAATTCCTCTAACAAGATATATGATATGAATGGCCACAATTAAATGTCACTACATTTTCAATCTCTATAAATAACTTTTTTTATAACCTCCAATATCATCAATAATCCTATGTCCTAATTATTAGCATTATTAACATATTATATCTACTCTCTTCCCTAAATTTCTGTTTTTATGTAGGATATCATTTATAATGTTATTTGTTTTACATAATTCCAAATTGCCAAGTCTTAAAATATGTTAATAACAATGAAAATCCAAAAAAACAGCTCTAAAACAATAAAATTAAAATCCTAAATTTAACTTCGAATAATTATTTATCAACTCATCTATAAATAGTTCAATATCAGTTGAATATAACAATTTTATCAGAATTTCAGGTGTATTAGTTCTAAAATTATTGATAATTGTCAATATTTCAATTTTTGTATTATCTAATTTATAAGCTTAATACAACATTCTTTACCAATCAATTATTTGATTAAACACTTAAAAATACAATATGTCTATATTATTATGGAATTTATTATTATCTAATAGTATTTCCATATTCTTCAATAGCTCATTAAGAGTAGAGATTAATTATCCAATAGTAGTAATTACTAAATAGGGTTTCTTTTTCTTTGAAATCTAAACAGGTAGTCTAATAATTTCTCTTAGATAACGTTTCAATAAATCATCCATAAATTCTAAATAAATTTAAATGCTTTCATCTATTTTATTCATCTTCTCCAACAATATAGCTGTTCCTTCATAAATATTAAATGCTTTTGTTAAATAAATGGAGTCAAAGATTGGATATTTACCAGATCTTAAAAAATTAGGAACTTATTATGGTTTATGTTTACACAATAGTTCTATATGCTTAATTAAAATTTGAGAATCTGAAATATCATTCCAAATAAAATTAATATAATCTAATTTATATTCAGGTTCATCTATTGAATCGATAACTTAATTGTATTTTTATTAATGATGTAATTGAATTATAGTATCAGAATTTAGTAAAGAATTTAAAGTAATCTAAATAATAATTATTTTATTCAACATACATCTAATAATTATTTTTAAATCTCTTTTTATTAGTTATCATGTGATAATTTATTCCAATACCACAATTCTTATTCTAATTCTTAATCTATATCTTCTACTATATCTTATTTCATATTTTTATTGCAACAAGGAGAACACTCTTCAGATTTATTTTCACTTTCTTTTTTTGAAGTCACTTCTTCTTCATCATAACTTTCTTCAGAATTTTCATCTTCTTCTTCATTTTCATCCTCTTCTTCTTCATTATCATCTTCTTCCTCTTCATCTTATTCTTATGAATTTCTTGATTCATTTTCTGAATTATTTGAATCTTCATCAGAATTTTCACTTTCACTTTATTATTTTTATGGCTAATTTATAAAAGCATTCATGATAGTATTTTATGGTTTTGGTTTGTCATCCATTACAAAAGATACAAATTTAGAAAAAAAGCTACTCATTTTGATTAATTATTTTATATTTTATTAAACTACAATGAGTCTAATGACAAAAAGAATTATAAAAGAGCTTGAATAGCTTAGAAATGATCCACCATAATCATTTGTTGCTTAATGCATAAATAACAATCTTTATGAATGGCATTTCACAATAAGAGGTCCAGAAGATTCAGACTATTCAGAAGGAATATATCATGGAAAAATAGAATTACCAGTTGATTATCCAATAAAACCTCCAAACATTTTTTTTCTTACTCCAAATGGTAGATTTGAAGTTAAAACAAAAATATGTTTAAATATAACAAAATTTCATCCTGAAAATTGGAATCCTAGTTGGACAAGTAAGTTTATTTATATTAATTAATTTGTTTAGTCAGGACTATGATTGAAGGAATCATTTAACATTTTCATGTAAAAGACTTTGCAGTTGGTTCAATTCAATATACATCAAATCAAATAAAATCATTAGCTTTAGGAAGTCATAAATGGGAATGCGATATTTGTGGTCCTATTGTAAAATTAATAGCACCAAAAGTGAAATAATAAAAGAATGAAGAGTAGTCTTAGTTTAAGAAGGATGATCATTAATAAGAGAGAAAAGAAGATTAAAAGATTAATAATTAAAGTGAATAGATAAAAGATGCTATTTAATAATAATAAAATTAAAACAATAAATAAGTAGAGTAAAAATAGAAAAGAGAAAGTGAAAAGTAGAAAGAAGCATAAAGGAATGATTTATCAGATGAAGAATAAGAAATTCTAATGAATAAAAAGTAAACAGCTGAATTTGAAAGATTACTTTGGAAAGCAATGAATCCAGACTTTTTATAATAAGCTAATATAAGAATTTAACATTAATAAATAGAGAGTTTTCATCCTTAATAATTATAATATTTTGATTAAGGTAATATTATTTAATATATTAATCAGTTTATAAAATGATGGAAGAAGAAGAGAAGGTTTAATAAAGTTTGTTACTCAATAAACCACAAGAATAAGAAACAAATAAGAGAGAAAATGAGATAGCAAAAGAATAGGAATAAATAAATAAAATAAATAAGTACTCATCTTAAATTATGTTAATAAATATAATTTTGTTAAGTTTAATATTTGGAATAGTATTTATAAATTTTGGAGAATTTATTGAATAGAGAACAAAAGAATGGTTGTTAGTTAATTGATATTTTATATTTTAAAATAAATATTGGATATAAATGATCATGATATCATTTATCTAAATACTGATTTAGTAATAGGTTAATCTTTGACATTAGTGTATTACATCATGATTTTCATATCTTAATCAGTTAATCCAAATTTATATTTCTAATTGGCAGCTTTTAATCCTTCAAAAGTGATTTTGCCTTTACCTTATTCTAATACTTCATAGATGCAGTCAAAGTTTTCAGGTTCAGACAATTCAAAGTTAAACTGTTAAGCAAATTCGTCTTAATCCAATTTTTAATTTTTTCTTCTTTGTAATTTTTTTAATAATAAAGAACATTATTCTCCGCAAGCAGCTTCAACAACTGGAATAAAATCTTCAACAATTAGTTTTTCTTCAAAAGCATCAACGAATTCTTAATATAATTATTAAACTTCTGGAGTTTAAGAATAATCGAACTCTTTTTGTTAAAACATTCTTCAAATAATTAAATATTAATTTACAATGAATAAATATTCGCCTGATGGCTTAGTATAATAATTATTATAATAAATTAGAAATGCCTTATAGGTGCAATGTTAGTAAAGGCAGGACAAGCACTTTTAATGACATGGGGGAAATCAAATGTATATTATTATTCATATTTCAAAATGAATGATCCTAATTTACCAGTTGCATATAACACATTGCCTATAGCATTAATGGGTATACCATTGGCGATTGCATCAGTGTATTCTTTAAAGATTGCTGATAGAATAGGGTATGAGAAACTAATAAGAATTACAACATCATTATAATTTATTTCATTCTTAATAGCGTTACACGCTAACTCTTATTTAGAATTCATAATATTTTATTTGGGTTTTATAGGTTTGGGATATGCATTGTTAGCATTTCCATTATTAAAATGTCTATGGAGTCATTTTTCAGAAGAGGAAGGAATGGTGACAGGTATTTTATTTGGAGTATTTGGATTTGCTACATTTTTTTATTTACTTCTAGTAACATACATAGTAAATCCTAATAATGAAGAAGCTACATTATCAGTAATTAATAAATCATTACATAGATCTAAGTAGGTTCTCAGTAATATTTATATTTTTCTGATGTTGTTGCTATTAACACTTATTAAGCTATTAAATATGCAGGATTTATAGCAGGCACTTTAAGTGTTTCTGGAAGTTTACTAATAAATTAAAGAAAATTAGAGAATGTAGAAGAACAAGAATTATAACTTCTAACTAATGAAATATAGAATATCACAATTACTTCAAATGATCCACTTTTTTAAGTTGTTAAAACCAAGCAATTCAAAATTATTCTAGGATCATATTTTACTGTTTTCTTTTTTGAAGTGACGTTGGGATTAAATTATAAAACCTATGTGTTATAAAAGGTAAATTTATATAATTAGTTTAAGAGATTAATAACGATTAACTTATTACATGGGTTGATACACTTGGAATTATTCTTGGATCAATTGCTAATTTCGTCTTTGGTAAAATGGCTGATTAGATTGCATTCACTGTCTTATTACATAAATTATTAATAATAATGAGTATCATTGCTATGATGATCCCAATATCCTTGAATATTTCTAAAGACTTATTCATTATTGGTAAAGTATATCAAAACTATTTAGATTATTTATTGTTATCAATTATCTCAAAAGGAATCATTGTTATTTTAGGTCCAGGATTACTCTAAATATTTGGTAAGAAAATAGGTGCAGACATACTCCCTATTGTTAATTTTAGTGGATTACTAGGTTTTATTTTTTCAGCTCTCTTCATATTGCTCATTGTTCCAATATTGAGATTTGATGGCACTTTCATTTTTTAAGGATTATTAATTGGATTGGCTGCTTATTATACTAAAAACATCAATTAATGAATTATAATAATATCCATTTATTCCAACTAAAATTTTAAAATAAATAAAATAATCATGGCAAGTTATGTAATCAGTCCTGCAGATCAATTAATCATACAATAAGGTAGAATCTTCTATCCTTATTATTAGGAACACCCTTCAGTTGTGAAATAGTACATCCAGGACTATCTTGTGAAATGAACATTTTATCAAAGTAAATAAATTCAAAATTACTTTATAAAGTCTTCCAAGAATCATGAGATCTAATTCCAAAGTTTATTTACCAGTTCATTTGATCCCTTTTCTACTTTATAAACGAAAACAACTTATGAAAAAGTATCCACAATACCTTTAAATTAAATAGTCCTGTCTCTACTATTAGCAGAGCTCTTGTATCTTATTTTAAAAGTATATGCTTCCTTTCTTTTATGGTTCAAATACTACGATATAATTGGTGCAAATAAAAAAATCTCCTTAAAAAAGTTGATCCTTTTGTTCCATTATCGGGAGGGTTTATGAGTTCATTTGCTCTACTCTTAGAATCCAATACAAGGTATCTCTTGAATCTTAATTTAGAGCGATGGAAATTTGTTTAAGTATTATTCCAAGATTTTGCGAAACATTCATAAACCTATTAAAAAGCAGGAGAAAAATGATAAACATTCCTCATGGAGATGTTCTTGTTTTTTCATTTGTTATTGCTATCATACATTATTATTATCAACATGATGTAAGATTGCTTAATCATATTAGCCAAAATCTTTAAAAAGCACATATTATAAAGTTTTTGAAAAAATATGGGGTATAAATTGATTACATAATTTGTGTTTAATAGATTTAACAATAATTTAATATTATTTTTATACTTTTTTTTATTCATTCTAGTTGAGGGTTTCTCTTTAACAATTTTCATGTATTTATAAATATATAAATTCGAAAAGTATTAATTAAAAATATTATTATATTTTATTAATTAAATTCATATTACATTGCTAAAATATTTAATATTTTCATTAAATGATTTAATACTATAGATATATTTATAAATTTATTCATCAATTTAAGATGCTTCTTTTTGTTTTTTAAATGTACTTTAAAACCTAAAGTTCTGAGTAATTTTCATTCTTTTTATGTTTTTACTATTTTACGTGTTGCAATTTCATCATCGCAATTTTTTCCTTAATTTTTTTAATTTGTTTTTTTCCCTCATGTACACAATCTATTTGTTAAGATTTTGCATTTTATTGATTTTGAGAATTAGAGGATTCAATGTTTAATCCAATAATAAATTCATCTAAAAATTGTCTACTTTCAACAATTGATGAATTATCTTCAGGTTATATTTGCACTTTTTAATAGAGTTTCTATTTTAATGTGCATTTCGATTCTCCAACATAATTACTACATAGCAATTTAGAACATTAAATTGTATCAGCCTAGATGAGACATTTCAATTAAATTATATTGTATTTCATGTATACTATATCATCTTCATCAGTATAACAATCTGGACAATATATTACCCAATCTTTGATAAATTAAAAAAAAATAAAGATTTCTTTAAAACATTTAGAGCAAATCAACACATCCTTAGATGATATAAATAATTCAAAATTTGTTTAATTTTTCTTTGATAATTAACGTCTAATTTCTTCATCAATAAAACCTTTTAAATAATCTTTTAAAATAGATGGTTTTTCATGTATATAAATATCTAAAAATAAATTTCTAATAGCAATCACACTCCAAAGTTAGAAGAAATCATTTCTTATTTATCTCTTATAAATTTATTATAATGAAAATGCATCCATCATTAAAAAGTTGAAAGATGTATGAATTGAATTTCCAATATTTTTTGCTTAAAAAAAGCATCCAGCTCCAATTATTAGAATATCTCCTTCTTTTTAAATAACCTATTTAACAGGTATTTAATTTTATAAGAAATATGCAATATTAACATACCATCTACCTTCCTTTTTATATAAATCTGGCATAATATGAAATAGTTTATCAATATAATTTGCATCAATAATAGTCCATAAACAATCTCCAGGTCCATGATTAATATTAATCTAACTTAATCCTTAAAAGTCCTATTATCCTCCAATCCAGCAATTCTAAACTCTCATATAAATTTCTGGTATATTAGCCCCTTTACAATTTTATCTCAAATAATTCAACCCATTTTTTTTTGTAAAGAATTTTGGTAAAAAATCAACAATTCTATAAATTTCTTCTTTCCAATCTTCCATATCTACATTAACTGCCTAATACACTTTATTTTTACAAAAGTGTGGATAATTTTTAAAAAAAGATTTTGGATCTTCAGCATACTCTTTATATTATTTTATTGTCATTGTAAAAGCCTAATAAAAATTTTCCTCTTTTGCCATTATAGTATCTGTGAATGGATTCTAACCTCTAATATCCATTTCAAAATTTCTATGATTCTTTGATAAATCTTAGAATGTGAATAAATTTTTATTCAATTTTGCAACTACATCTTTAGGTAAAGACCACAGAGTAACCTAATCTTTAATCCAGTTCTCAGGTGATTCAGTAAAACAATTAATTGCTTTATCAAATTCAATATAAGCACATCTTTATAAATATTGACCATCTACATTTGTTGTTCTCAATTCATAATTTAATAAGTATTTATGAAACAAATGTAGGATTTGATTGTTTTCATATGATTGAAATTTATTATACTATTGAGAGTAATACTACTTTTATATTTTTATGATACTTTAATAAATCCGCCTTATTGCTAAATATATTCATATAATTCTATTATTTCCTAGGAATTCAATAACTCAAATTCTTGTGATGTGGGTTTGAAATTCTTCCTTACATACTCTATATACATCTCTAATTTTGAAATAATTATTAAAGCTCATCTATTTTGTATCATCTATTTTTCATTCTAATATTTAGGAAAAATAATATAAAGTTGGTATAATTTATCAAGCTACAAATGATTCTAATTAGAATGTAATGAAAGAAGTATTAGGTAGTTTTGAAGAGATTGTAGCAATACATCTATTCAATAAGAAATAGATATGAATAAAATGGCAACTAAAAAAATACATTAGATTAGCATCAATGATGCAACTCATAATGTTGCTGAATCATAGTAAAATATTAAAATAAATATACACATCTATATTTGAATATTTGTTGGATAGAATTTGATTCTCATTTTTTCTTTGGTTGTGGGGTATTATTACTTGGTTTTTTAATTGATATAGATTATTAAGGAATTTATGCTTGAGCTGGCATTTTTTCATTAACTATATCAGCATTTTTGGCAACATTGAAATCAGCAAGTGCTAAAATATATAATTCAATATAATACCATCTGTAATAGCTGTTTTGCCAGCTGAAAGTATGCCTTTTGGTAATCTTTTATCAGGACAAGCTCCTTTTAATTTCATAACACTTTCACTTTCTTCTCTAAGTGTTTTTTAAAGTTTCATCATTGTAGCTACAAACTTAAGTTTATTTTTCAATTTCTCAGTACCTTTTTTAAAATTTAATAAAATATTTTTACTTTTTCCTGTAGAACCACCTGATTGTTACTTATTATACTACTTATTTTAATTTGTTAATTATTTGAATTATTCAATATCTTCTTAATTGACATCATCATCATCATCACCTTAATCACCAGCTTAAATTAAATTATAAAGCATTTCTGTTATTTTTTCAGCCACGAAAGGTATTGACCAAGTAAATATATCCATAAAATTTGGTAGTAAATATGGATGTGGAGTATATTAAAATTATTAAATATTTAGAGTATTATTCTATCAATTTTATATAATAAATAATCTTACTTCAAATTTTATTACTGCTCCTCTATTGTTATAAACATCACAATAATTTGGAGCACTAAATATTGTTATAACAACTGGGAAATCTTATCCCCCATTCCATCTATGCATTTTATATCCATCAAGTTATGCCTGAATATTTACACTTTCTTACTTCATGAGCTCTAATGATACTAATCAGACTGTTTCTTTACAAGAATTTCATACTTGCATCAATCCCAAAGAACCAACTACATCCACGTACTTCATTACTTTTCCATTGACCATCTAAATTTCCTTAATCTTGATCTACTGGATCACTCCATAATAAATCACAAAATAATCCACTACGAGGTGGCTCATGATATCTATCTAATTTCTTTATATCTTCAATCTAAATATTATTTCATTTATTACTGATTTTAAATCAGGTGATATTCCTCCATGAATTGCTATAAATTTTGAATTTATTATACATGCTAATGGAAATAAATCAAAAGAATCCATTAACATTTCATAAGTTTCTTAATCATATTTATAAAGACCTATCATTATTATGATAAGTACATTCATCTTTAAAATTAAAAAATGCTGTCAGTTATCGACATTCGTGATTTCCTCTCAAAAAATATACTGTATTAGGATAATTTAATTTTATCGCATAAAGTAAAATCACTACTTCAATTGAATATGATCCTCTGTCCACAAAATCTCCCAAAAACAAATATCTAATATTCATAAATTATTTTACTTTGTCGTTTCTGGATTACCACCAACTTTAGGTTCTAATAATTTTAATAAATCATAATATTATCTATTTTAATTCAATTAAATACCCATGAATATCACCAACAACAGTAAGTGGATCTTGCAAATAGATAACATTTCCCTCATTTTCTAACAATTAAAATATCAGTTATACTTAATAATTTATTGAAGTCAGAAACTAATTTAAATAATTCTTCTTTAGCTATTCTTCCTTCTCTTTACAAATGATCTTTCAATAATTTCCAATCTGGTTTGTCTAAATAATTAAATATTATGACGTACTTTTAAGTTTATCTGGAAACATCAGATTTTTTGAGAGTGGTCTATGAGGAGGAGGCTTTAGAGTCTTCACCTATCTATCATTAACTGGGTCTTTGAGAACGTCCATTAATATTTATAATATATATATAATATTTATTATTATTAATATTTATCATAGATCAGATGCTCAACTTTTACAATTCCGATCTTAATTTATTGACTCTTGATAATAATGAGCAATCCAAAAATTTATTTCCTGAATACATTTATAATCCTCCTAAAATGGATGGATCGACTTTGTATTAAACTGAAAATTGCATATTTGGACTTGATTCTTTTAAGGCTGAAACAACTTATGTTCTATTTAAAATTAAATTATATTTACTTTTATTCTTCAGATAAGTTTTCAGCAGAAATAATAGTGATGTTTTCTTCTTTATTAAAGATTCTATAATATTCAATATATTTTTCAGCTGTCTTCGTTAAATATGAAATTCTTTGACTATCAATCATAGTATTTAATAAATTCTAAGTGACTTCATGAAATCCTTCCTAAAATATGATTAATATGATTTACTTTAGTAAGAGTTTGAATAACATTTCTTTATTGATTTCTCTTATATGATGAATTAAGTAAAAAACCTGCAAATACTGGACTCTTTTCAGCTAATTCTTTAAAGTATTTCATGTCCTACAATACTAAATGAAGTGCTTCTCTTTATGATGCTGTTGAGAATAACACTCCTGCATATTTTCCTTAAACAGTATCTTCAAAAGAGGGAGGCTTATGTCCTAAATTGATTGTTAATCTTAATACCTGGTACTGATTTAATTTCAGCCTCAACTTTACCAGCAGCAACTGAATATCTGAAACAGGCTCTTTGAATTATTTTAAACATTATTTAATTAATGATTTTATTTAGTAGGATTTCTTATTGCTTTTCATCTGAGAAGAAGATCCTTAGATTCATCAAATCATGTAGCAGTCCAAAAGAAGTTTATTAAATTTATCACAAAAACCAAGAACATTTTACACCTTTGTTATTCCTAGAAGCGTTGAAACATATGAATACAAGTCCTATTAGAAAAAGATTTGATTTAAATGATGATATTGCTTTCTATGATGAATTAACTGAAATATTCAAATAAGTACCTATGCAAGAAAAATGGAGATTTTGTAATATTTTTTAATCTTATTATTAGATAGATGTGCAAGTTGCTAAAATAGGAAGAAACAAATAATTAATCAAATAATATGGAAGTGATTTAACATGTATAAGAGTTAAATAAATCGCCATTTTATTATGGGGTTATCATAAAAATGGTATCAAGAAACCAAGAGTTGTCATTCATCTTATAGATTAACTTCAATAAAATTTAGATGCTTTAATTCCTGTTTCTGAAAAGACTGATAATAATATATAACAAAATCTTAATGATAATTCAAAATCAGAAAATGAAGAGGATCATGATATCAATTAATTAGATGAAGATGATGACTTTTTAGAATAATAATTAGAAGAAGATTTGTAATCTGAAAAAAGAGTACTTAGAGACTATAAATTTAAATTCAAAGACATGGTTCTTATTATTTGGGCAATTCAAGATATCAAACTAGATGCTACTGCATTATTAATATACACATTTAAATTAGCCATAAATAATTTTAATAAAAAAGAACTAATTACTAATAGATCATTAATTCTACTTTTACAAGCCACCATCAATATCAAAGATAATAAATAAATTAATGCTGTATCCACTTCTATTTTATTTAGTATCAAAAACTTGTTATACAAAATCTATCTGAACAAGATCTCTCAAATGAAGGTATACTTCAATTACTTTTACTATTAAGAACCCTAGGTTAATTGAAGTAAAGTCCTGAATTTGCTTAAAAATTAGCTTATATTATGTTAAAAAATTAAGAAAAATCAAATCAACCATTTTCATCAAAGTTTGCTTCTATAATGATATGGAATTTAAATAAGTAATTTTAATATTTTTATTTATTTTTTAGGCTTGGCATTACAGATACTGATATATATAACAAATTAGGACTTCATTTAACTAAAAGCAATGAATTTAAAGCTATGGATATCAGTTAAGCCATTTTGATATATTCCATATAATAAACAAAATCTCCTTAATATTAACAATATTAATTCATTTTGAGATCATTAATAAGCAAGGGTAATATGATTAAGTTAGATCCAAGAAGTCAAAGCATTATTAGAGAATCTTTAGAATAATATTAGCCTCATTTGGTCAAATTATTAAAAAAATGAGTTTATATGTTTATATATATTTCAAATATTCAATCAATTTTCATTAAACAAATTTATCATCTTTATCTTTTCAAATTTAAAATAAATAATAATGAAATTAAATTCGTAGTAATTATCTGAAATTAAAGTAGAACTTAAAAAATTCTCTACAGTTCCTATTGAAAAGTCTTATAAATTAATTGCTTAAGTTTATAAATGCAATTTTTAATTACAATCATTAATTGATAGCTAAATTACTAAAAGTTTTGTTAGAATTGGATAAAAGAAATATACAGATCATGATGATGATAAATTTGTTAAAGCTATTAAAATATGTAGGAAATTAGTTAAATAATGAAAATAAGCTATTATTTGCAATGATTTAAATGCTCAAAATGATGAAAAGTAAAATTTATATAAAAATGCATTAAAATAAAAAATATCCAAAAATAATGAGCCATTAATTCAAAAAAGAATCAAGACTAGTATAGAAACTAAAAATGAATAATAGAAATACAATATTAAAGAAACCCAAAATATTTAAAATGTACAAGAAGATAGAAGAAAAAAAGCTATTGATGGATTAAAAAAATATTTTTTTTTGTAAACTTAATAGGAACATGAATAATGGTCTAAAAAAATTGAATAAACTATTTATGATCTCTATAATCATTCTGTTTAAATATATATGGATAAAGTAAAATGTATTGTAAGAATGATAGATAGGAATTGATAATTCAGAAATTAGTTGTTAAATGGAGAATTTAATCTTATAACTGAAATAAAAAATTTAAAATGATTAATAAGAAAGAGTATCAAATTCAATTTCTTCTTTTAAGCTATCTATGCTTTATCTTCATATCATCTATCATTTTCATTACTCCTAAATTGTTCTGGGAATATTCATTATGAAATGTTTAAGTATTCTTTGTCTTTTTTTTTCTATTCTATAGAAGATTAAATGGATTTTAAGTCTTATCTAATTAAAGATTGTCCAAACTATTTTTAGGAGATATTTATTGAGATATACTTGGAAGTATATTATTTTTCTTCATCTTTTTATCCTAAGATATTAAAATATATGTTTATTACTATAATGGATAAAGGAGTTAAATACATAACAGGTTCTTTTTTATATGTTATTTTTCTTAACATTTTTTCCATATAAAGAGAGATTTGCCTTTTTTTTGTACTAGAATTTCGACTATTTATAACTGTGCTACAATGTTCATTATTAAATGAAAACTTTTCCTTTATTGAATCAACTTCAAAACAATCTGTTGCGTTTCTTCTAATTAATACTTTATTTATAAACCTTATAATATTTTCAGGGGAATTAGGAAGTTTAGGAGATCTATGTGAATGTGCTGATTAAATTATCATTGTTCCTCGTTTAACATTAATTTAAGGATTTTTAAGGAATTATTGTAAATATCTCTGTCTTTTGTGTTTTCTTATTTATTCTGATTTATAAAAAACCAAAAATTAGGCTGCATATCCAGCTATTCTAAAGCGCTTAAAAACTCTTTTCCTTCTTGTATAACTTAGAAAAAAAATAGAATTTTGACATACGCTGCCTCAAACGAAGAGATTTAATTCCATATTTTTATCTAAAACAAACTCATCTTTCCACATTACTCACAATTACAACTAGTATTACGTTTCTTTATTTCATTATCATTTTGATTCTTTATTAGAAATCTTTCTAATTCATTATTTCTAGCAGTTCTCATCCTATTCTTAGATTCTTTGGAAATACTTTTTGTGTATCTCAATTAAAAATTTTATCTGGGGGATACCAATCTAATTAAATGAACAACGTTATACCTTTACATACTTAAAATAATCTTTTATTATGGTTATTATTTCATTATAAATTAATATAATAATAAAAAATTGAAATCATAAAACTTGACTTAATCAAATTAATCAAAAAAATAAATGAAAAAGAATGCATTAATTATTAAATTATTTAACTTGATTCACAATGATATTTTGTTTATTTTGTATATAATCATTATTTTTATTTAACAATAAAAAAAGGATAATAATAATAAAAATATAATAAAATAAATCGCAAGTAGGAATTAAATAATATGATAAAATGAATCAATTAGATATTAAAATATCATTTTACTTTTTCTATTGTTAAAATGGGGCTAGTTCCTTTTAGAATAAGTAATATGTAATTACCTTTACTAATAAATCTATTTCTTCTCTAAGAGAATCAAATGTAGTTTAGGTCTCAATCCTCTGTTTACAAAAATCTTCATTTAATTGTCTAAGTAAAGTTTATGTTTACTTTAAATGTTATCTGAGTCTTTTATTTTCATCAGTGACTTGTTTGTATTTTGTCGTTAGTTTTTAATGTTTCATTTTTTCATTTTCTGATAAGGTTTATGGGTCATTCATAATTTTTTCANGAGATCTATGTGAATGTGCTGATTAAATTATCATTGTTCCTCGTTTAACATTAATTTAAGGATTTTTAAGGAATTATTGTAAATATCTCTGTCTTTTGTGTTTTCTTATTTATTCTGATTTATAAAAAACCAAAAATTAGGCTGCATATCCAGCTATTCTAAAGCGCTTAAAAACTCTTTTCCTTCTTGTATAACTTAGAAAAAAAATAGAATTTTGACATACGCTGCCTCAAACGAAGAGATTTAATTCCATATTTTTATCTAAAACAAACTCATCTTTCCACATTACTCACAATTACAACTAGTATTACGTTTCTTTATTTCATTATCATTTTGATTCTTTATTAGAAATCTTTCTAATTCATTATTTCTAGCAGTTCTCATCCTATTCTTAGATTCTTTGGAAATACTTTTTGTGTATCTCAATTAAAAATTTTATCTGGGGGATACCAATCTAATTAAATGAACAACGTTATACCTTTACATACTTAAAATAATCTTTTATTATGGTTATTATTTCATTATAAATTAATATAATAATAAAAAATTGAAATCATAAAACTTGACTTAATCAAATTAATCAAAAAAATAAATGAAAAAGAATGCATTAATTATTAAATTATTTAACTTGATTCACAATGATATTTTGTTTATTTTGTATATAATCATTATTTTTATTTAACAATAAAAAAAGGATAATAATAATAAAAATATAATAAAATAAATCGCAAGTAGGAATTAAATAATATGATAAAATGAATCAATTAGATATTAAAATATCATTTTACTTTTTCTATTGTTAAAATGGGGCTAGTTCCTTTTAGAATAAGTAATATGTAATTACCTTTACTAATAAATCTATTTCTTCTCTAAGAGAATCAAATGTAGTTTAGGTCTCAATCCTCTGTTTACAAAAATCTTCATTTAATTGTCTAAGTAAAGTTTATGTTTACTTTAAATGTTATCTGAGTCTTTTATTTTCATCAGTGACTTGTTTGTATTTTGTCGTTAGTTTTTAATGTTTCATTTTTTCATTTTCTGATAAGGTTTATGGGTCATTCATAATTTTTTCAAATTCACAATTAAGTGCCTACAAAGATTCTTTACATTTTTAATATGATGCTTAGAGTGACCTATTATCTTCCATGAGTTTTTCTAAATCCTATAAATTAAAAGCTTAAGATGATCCAATTAATCTTACAATTTTAGATTAATCTAACACAAAATTCTTTGCCAATTTTAGATGGAATTTCAAACAATTCATAAGATTAAGATGTTATACACAATGTTTATTTTAAGAGTTTATCCTTAATGCTTTATTGAATATAATACAATCTAATTTTCATGTTTAACTTAAAAGGCAGGTAGCAAAAGAGAAACATAAATTCCTTCAGGCATTAAAATTATTATTATTATGTAATGAATAATATTTATTAAATTTAGTTATTGAGATTAAAAATGAATAGATTATCCTCTGAAATAAATATAGTTTATATAATTCAAGTCTTAAATCTACAAGATTTCTAAGTATTTTCTAGTTCAGTAGTTAATTTTCCTTTTGCTTGAAGAAGTTTACCAATCAAAAATTTAATTTCATTATTAATATGGACACTTTTTGAAGGCTATTAATTCTCTTTATTCTATAATACCAATTATATTTACATATTTGAATGAAGTAGAATCATTTTGATTAGTTTCATCTTAATTAATATAGCGAGCCTTAATTTGCTATATATAATTGATATGATTATCATTCATTCTCAAAGTTGTTTATGGTTATTATTAATATAAACTATATTTAAGATTGTTTAACTAAACTTATGTAAAGGATGGAACTTTAAAGTGCGAAAATGAAGTATTATTGGTTTTTTATTAAGTAGATAACGAAGTAGTTTAATTTTAATAACTTTGATCAGTCTACCCTAACATTTTACTTAGATTTGTGGTTGAAGTTATACTATGAGCTTTATTTCCTTATTAGGAATATGATCTTCTTTAGTCAACTTCGTTATTAAATCGGGTTGTTTATTAATTAGATATCCTAAATCTAATATATTCATCTCCAGTTTCGATTTCTTCTTTCATTATACTTGCATCTTAGAGATAAGAATTAAGATTTAAATTGTTTGAAGGAAGAGAATTGGTAGATTAAGATTTAGCTTTTTTACTCATCATTTAATTAAAATCCTCAATTGGCATTGGAAGGGTATCATGATTATTAGCCTTGATTTTTTCAAATGATTAATTATTTTTTGAAGGTTACAATGATTATTTTTAAATAGATGTTATTGAATTCCTTGGTTATTAGAAAACCTATTTCAAATCAGGTTAAGATATATGAAAACTCTTGCACTAAACTGGACTTTCTTAAGAGACTATAGAATTTCTAATTTTAATCATATCGGCACTCTTTTTTTTAGAAGTACTGTCATAATTATTGGTGTTTCTAGAATATCGATTAAAATTTAAATTTACATTCTTTACTCATCAATTTATTTATTTAACATTTTTTTTTCATATTGGAATTAAACTTACTATTCATGCATTTCTTATTTTAAAGCTACTATTTATTCATCGTATTTCTATTATAATTATTGAACTTCTTAATTTTATTCAATATGTGTTTAATATTTTTTAATTGTATTTTGACTTCGAATCAATCTTTATTATAATTGTTCTTTTTCTTTTTCATATAATTATGCTAATTATTAATATCTTTGATCATAATCTGATTATTTTTCTTGCATATCTTTAAAAAAATTATCCTTAATTTTTTGAATTTCTTGCTCAAACTATAATTTTTATACTTGTTCCTTAGATTTAAAATTTTCCTCTATTTTTTATATTTAATCTTTGAACTTCAAAATTTCTTAATTTAAATACTATTTATCTGATTCTAAGCTTTAAATTTTGTGATCATAAGTAATCTATTATTTTTATTACTAAAGTTCAAGATCTTTAATTTATATTTCTTTTTCATTTAATTATTCATTCAAACATCTAAGCTAAAAGATATAATTTTATTTTACTTTTTCTTCCAATTTTGATATGCTATCTTAATGTTTCTTACTATTGGCCATCTAAACTTCAATAGATTTTTGAAATTCTGTATAACTTTTTTGCTTTATAAGATAGAATTTGAATAATACTTATGTTTTTCCTGAAATATCAATAGCTTAAGTTATAGTATCATTTAATTTCTTTTAATTCATTTCTCTTGTTTTATAATCCTCTAATTACAATTCTAATAATTGTATTTTTTGTTCATACAAAGCTTTGTCTTTTTTCCATTCATTCTCTTTTAAAGTAAACTACAATATAGGAACAATAAGATTACATTTTTTTTGAGTTAAATAAGGTCTTCTTATTCATTATTTTCCATTCAAATTTAACGATTAATTAGAAATAATAAATAAAAGAAAATGAGGAAAGTTGAATATAATAGATATAAATGAACTATGATATAAAATAATGATTTTAAAGTATGTGTATAATTAAATAATAAAAATTTTAAAAATCAAAATAAAAAAGATGATTGATCTTGACTAAATCAAATTGGAATAAATAAATGAATTTAAGGCAATCTAATTAATAACTTTTGTTTCATAAAATAATAAGTTTGAATTGAATAGTGAAGCAGCTAAATTTTTGAGTTAATTAAGAGGAAACATAGCATTTGTTGTAATTTGTGGAAAATACAGAACAGGAAAGAGTTTCTTATTGAATAAATTGATTGATGTTTAGAATGAAGGAGTAATTGTTTTGTTTGTTATTAAATTTTAGTTTTAAGTAAGTCCTACAACAACTTCTTGCACTTAAGGAATATGGTTATATACAAAACCAATAATAAATAAGCAAAGCAATCTTTAAATATATTTTTTGGATACAGAAGGCAGTGAATCAGGAGCAAAATCATAAGCTCATGATGCCAAAATATTTGCTTTAGCGATTTTAATGAGTAGCACGTTCATGTTCAATTCTATAGGATGTATTGATGAATAATCAATAATTTAACTTCATCTTACTACATTATTATCAAAGAATATTTAAGTTTAAGATCATGATAATAGTAATAATGAAAATATATTGGGTTATTATACTCCTAAATTCATTTGGTTATTAAGAGACTTTGTACTTGAAATGAAGGATGGATAAAATAGAAAGATTACACCTAAAGAATATTTAGAATTAGCATTACATGATGATCGTTAATATTAGAGTGAGAATTCTAAAAAAGTTAGAAAAACATTACTGACATGTTTTAAAGATAGAAATTGTTTTTAATTTGTTAGACCTGTTATAAATGAAAATAACTTATAAAAGGTTAATTAATTACCAAACAATTAATTAAGAGAGGAATTCTAATAATAAGTAAAACAGTTTAATTTGATATTAAGGTTATTTAATTAAGAGAATATTTATTCAAAAACACTTCTCCAAAATAACTGAACGGAGTTAATTTAAATGGTAGAATGTTCTGTAATATGATTGAAACTTTTATTACTAATTTTAATAAGGGTAAGGTTCCAATCATTTCAACAGCATGGGAGCATATTGTAGAAACTGAATGTCAATAAGGTTTGATTTAAGCTAAATCATCATATGAAGATAATCTTAGAAAATATTTTCATGCTGACGAAGCCAAATCTTTTGAAGAAATATTTTAAATCTTAAAAAAAATAAGAGATGAATCATTTTAAACTTTTCATTACATAGCAGGTATAAGGGAAAAAAATAATCATTTTGAAGAATACAAGAAAAAACTCTTAGATTTTATGACAGAAAAAGAAAATTTAGCAATCAGATTAAATGATGATATGAATAATACGTATTCATTTTTTATTATTTATTTATTTAGAAAGAATGAAGAAGTCATTGCTGAAGTGTCTCAAAAATTAAAAGAAAATCTAGATCAAGAAACTTTTACTATTGATAACTTAGAAGTATTCTTTTAACATTTTAATGAGTAATAATTTATTTATTTTTAGATTTCTCACAGCTTATGATAAAAAATCTGCTGGAACTGAAAAAGCTAATACTTTAATACATTTTTTATAAAATCATCATCCCATTATTGTAAAGTAGTTAATTAATTCTGTTGTGTAAATAAAATTATCTTATTTTTTAGATAAAAATATAGCAAAAATAAGAATTAAGCAGAAGAGGAGAAAGCTGTTCAATAAGTTAAAGAGAAACAATTATTAGATAATATCAAAATTTTAGAACAAAATATATCATAACATGAAACAAAAATAAAAAAATTAGATTAGGATAAAGTATAATTAGAAGCTTAAAAAAAATAATTATCTGATTAACTTAGCAAATTGTAAACTGAAAATAAAACAATCAGGTATATAAATAATTAAAATATTTTAGAGATAATATAAAAGACGTAGATGAATTATAAAATATGATTGCTCAAAAAAATGAAGAAATTCAAGGTCTTAAAAAAATCATTACTGTAAATAAATGCTTATTAATTATTAGTCATTATAAACTAAAAAGAAGAAAGGTTGTTGCGGATGAACCAAATCCTTATGATTTAAAACTATATTATAAAATGATATCATTTCAACCTTTTAAGACTGTTTTATGTATTGTGTATTTTATTTTAAAAAATATTTGGATAGATTTTCACAGAAATTATTAATATTTATATAACATTAATGGATTATACAAACTAGAGACCTCCTTAAAATTATTCATAAATGGATGACTAAAAAACACAAGATTTGGAAGAAAGTGTTTCTGAAACAATTGTAATTCAAATTACTTATTTAGATGAGAGATTTAAAAATGATTGCTTATAAATTAAAATATGTTTTAATTCCAAAAGAATAAGAGGATAATGGTAAAGAATTAAGAAATTGTAAACTTTATAATTATATAAATAGGGGATTTATGGGGACCTTTAATATTTTGTTTAGTTTTGGCTATGTAAATTACTATCTTCTATTGAAGGACTCTAAGTTTTAAGGCTGAATCTACAACTACTAGTACAAAGTCTGATGTATTTGCAATAATATTTGTTCTTATTTGGGTTGGAGCTTTTATAGTAACTCTAAATGCATAATTATTAGGAGGAAAAGTGTAATTGAAATCAATTTTAATACTTAGATCATTTTTCTAATCTGTTTGTTTATTGGGTTATTGTGTATTTCCAATCAATATAGAAGCAATCATTATAGCATTTTTTGGATCCTATTTACCATTTTTAGTGAAATTGATTCCAGTCTTCTTATGTTTTGCTTGGTCTGCTTATTGTAAATATTAGAATTTATGAATCCTAGCATCTGTTGGCTTTATGGCATCATTAGTACCACCACATAAAAAGAAATTAGCAGTTTATCCTGTATTTTTATTCTACTTGTTTTTGTCATGGTTTTCTTTGATAGTATGATTTTAATATACAAATAAGATAATCAAATTCTTCTAACAAGTAATCCCATATCCCATTATGCATTTAATCTTCTTTTATCTAAAGTTTCAAATACTCCGACTCCATTTGGTAATCCATTCATAAAAACACAAGTTATCTTTTCTCCATTACTAAGTTCTAATTAACCAAATCCAGAAAATTCTCCATCTTTAAAATCACCCATATAATGAGTCCATTGTTAATCCATTTTAGTAAAATCTTTGTAATCAAAATGATTATTAAAATACTTAGGTTTTGAATTTGTTGCTTTACCATAACCATCATATTCTCCATGTTTAAATGAACCTTCATAAATCAATTTTCCATTTTAATATAAAACTCCTTTTCCATGATATTTATCATTTTTCCAACAACCATCATAAGAATATTCATTTGATACATATTATCCTAAACCATCTCTTAATCCATTTAAAACTTCACCATAATAACTACCACCATCTTAACAATTCATTTTTCTTTTGTTTCTATTTTCTACAATCACATTATTCTTGGTAGTAATTTCTTTGATATCTTCAATTTATGGTTTAGTCTAAGGTTCTCCAATAGGAGAGATTCTAAATGAATTAACATGTGAATAACTAACATTTTTTGAATTCGCTCTTGATTTTGTTATTTTAGTCTCTATTCTCTATTGTACTTCAAAATTATAAATAATATTGATTGGTTATATTGGTTGTAATTCACTTATCTTAGCTTCTAATTTTATCCAATCAGGTCTTATTTCAAAATTAATTGTCAACATAAATTACAAATATTGAACCAATTTATAGGAATAATTAGTATCAACCTCTTTAATCAATTAATTTAATCTATATTCATCAAATACATTTTGATATATTTCATAAACAGTTTCATATTTATGTGGACCTAAGCATAATTATAATATACACAATCCTAATTAGAATACATCAGATTTCCAGGTAGGCATAGTAGATTGATCATTCAACAAGAATGAATTGTATAATTCATAACTTAACAAAATTTTATTTTACTAATTTTAAAATTTCTTTTAAAGCACATTAGGCTCTTAATTTCTATAAATCAATTTATATAATTGTGAATTGTCTATCAAATGAGTTAAAACGATGTGATCTAGTGTTACATTACCATGAACAATTCCTTTCAAGTGTAAAGAATATAATGCTTCAACCATATTTTATAAAATTAACCAAATTTCATGTTCTTAATAATGTTTATGTTTTATTGTATTTTCGCAATCTGAATGTATGTAATCTAATAAGGCACACACTCGAAATGTAGCAAAACATAAACAAACATATTTTTTAGTATGTATTAAATGAATATTTATTAAATTAGTATGTGTTAATTGTTATTTTTACAACTGCAATTGTTTTTCCTATTATTCATATATAGAATATTTATCAAATATAAATACACGTAGACTTAATTTATAAGAGGGATTCAATTTATGAGTTAAAATATAATGTTGGAGATTTAATGGATCATTTTACAATTCTGGATCAACATCAAAATATTTATACAATAAAGGCATTTATGTTTCATTTAAGGATTAATGAGACGGCATAGTCTTTAAGATTTAATTGCATGTTTCATCATATTTCATTTTCAAATAATTTGATTCATATTATGTTTTTAATTGTTGCTGTTATTGTAATAACTATTGTTATTATTATTGAAGCAATAATTATTGTTATTCCTATAATTATTATTATATTTATTGTGCTTAGTAATCTTATTGAAGATCTGGTTATTATTGTTATTCAGGTACAATAGTTTAAAATTATTAATTGTAATTGTCTATAAGTTATTATTATTAGAGTAAGAATTGATTTTATTAAGGTTATTGAATATTAGTAAAGAATGATTAAGATTAATGAATAGGTAATGTATTAACTGATAATCCTAACAATTCTTCTTGTTATTTTTGAGACCATGTTTTGATTAGAAATTATTATTCAGGTGATAATCTATTAAAATCAAGTGGAGGAGTATTGGAATTACGACTAGTTTCTAATGGTTGAAGTCTTTATGATTATGCCATACTCTGTTTGGATGAATCATTTAATGTTTAATTGAATTATCCTAATAACATATAAATATTAATATGGGAAATTGTTAAAGCCATTGTTATCAAAAGAGTATTAGTTAAGTTAATAGTGTTGATTGTTCAAAATTAATTATTCATGTGAAAACATGGCAAAAAGAAGCGTTCTCATTATTTGATTATGAGAATGCTGCAAATGTTTAAGAACAAACTTTTTAGGTAATAATTTTATATAAAACTATAGATAAATTCTGAAGGTTATTTAGTTGGTAGAAATTAAGTGGAATGGACAGAAAATGAATCTATCATAAAGGATTAATTGTGTAAAATAAAGAAAAAAAATGAAAACTATTATCTAATAAATTCCAACGTTATAAATGAAGATTAGAAATCAGCAATTTAAGAAAATGAAGAATGTCATACTATTGGAAATAAGTAATAATTGTTATTTAATTTTTTAGAACTGTGTCTGGTAAAATAGGTAATAAAATTTGGAAGGTAATTCATGAAAATGGAATTTCCTTAAAGGAAGGAGATATTATTAAATTGGGAAGAGTTAAATTTACAATTCGATCAATAGTTTTAGATGTTCAACATGTTAAATCAATTTTAGAATTTGAATCTCAATAATCTAATATCTCTGATTAATAGATGTGTAGAATCTGTTGTTCTTCTTAATAAACTATAAAGAATCCACTCTTAAATCCTTGTAAATGTAATGGATCAATCAAATACATACATTTAGAATGTTTAAAGACTTGGCTTAGAATGAAACTAGAAAATCGATAAAGTGATAATTGTATTGTTTATCTATGGAAGAACTTAGAATGTGAACTATGTAAATTTAATTTTCCACCCAAATTTAAAAGTGATGATGCTTATTATGATTTAATTGAATTAAGTAAACCTAATGATTATCCTTATTTAATGATGGAATTTACCAATAAATAAGTATTTTTCAATTCAATTATATTAAGGGCTAATAAATTGAATGGAATAATAGTTCTGGTATTTATATTGTCAGATTCTCGAATTCAAAAGAACTAAAACTTGGAAGATCTAATGATACAGATGTTAGGGTTAATGATATTTCTGTTAGCAGAAATCATGCTAAACTTTTAGTTTAAGACAATTAAGTGTATCTTTTTGATAATCATTCTAAATTTGGCACTTTATAACAAATAAGAGAAGAAAAATTATAAATTTAAAGAGGAATGGAAGTACAAATTGGCAGAAGCCTAATTTCATTTTAATGATGTTTATTTATTTATTAAAATCTTTTATTATTATTGTATTACAATGTTACGTAAATATTTAAATTGTTGCTAATAAATGAATAACTTATTTCCTGTAACTAATTATACTAATGCTTGCTCAATAAACTGAAAAGATTTAAACTGTCATAATAATATTCAAAATGATTCCTTAACTTTGAAACATAATCATTAATATAAATAAAGTGTTATGTATTTATAGAATTCCAATTACAAAATACTCTCGAATATAGGTTCTGGATCAGGACATCAAGTCTTTAAAGTCTAACACAATTAGACCTCTTAAATTTTAGCCTTAAAAATGGAAAAAAATTCTAACCTTGGATAATTAGAAGAGGAAATACAAAAACTAAAAGAGCTTTCCGGAATAATTGGTATTCCTAAATTGATTGATTATGGAAAAACAAAAGATTTTAAGTAAATATGATCATTATTTTGAATAGGAGCTATTTAATCACTCCGCTTTTAAAAAGAAATCTCCAAGAGATAGCAAAAGAAAGTTTGCTATCTCTACATAGCACTTTAGCCATTGGATTAAGTTTAATTGAAATTTTACAACATGTTCATAAAAAAGGCATTTTACATCTTGATATTAAACCAGAAAATATAATGATATCATAACCATACATCAATGTTCCAGTAGATTAAATTCTAAGTCCGGGATTCATTTAACTAATTGATTTTGGCTTATCTTAAAAGATAGGTCGAAAACCTTTCTTAAATAAAGTTTTTGTCGGCTCTTTAAGATATGCTAGTAGACAAGCACATAAAGGAAATCAACTTGGATATAAAGATGATTTAGAAAGTCTTCTTTATGTCTTAGTGTATTTAAGAAATTGTAAATTTTAATAACTGACTTTTTTAGAGAAGCTGCCCTGGCAATCTTTAAAATAATTATAATCTCAATAATTGGAAATTAGAAAAATAGGGGAAATGAAAGAAGCCCTTTTTAATACAACAGTTCTTTCTTAGAAATTTCCTCCTTAATTTTAATAGTTTAAATTATACATCGACTCTTTAACTTAAGTGGCTATACCAGATTATGAGTACATCAAGAATCTTTTTAAATCAATGCTCTCAATTAGAGATCATTCTTAATCTATTAAATTCACAGGGTCAGCCACATTAAGCTAATCTATAAAGGGGACGAAATAAAAACCCAATACTGAGCAGATACTGATGCTTTTGGAAAATTTACCAAACAATGATTCAATTGATATACCTGAAGATTTAATAGATACTGATACTTAGATTGTTCTTATTTCAGAATTAATCAACTCATATAGTACTAACTCTATTAAATCTATAACTGATATCAAATTTTGAGTTTAAGTTTGGTTTATGGTATTATGATTTATATTTTATATGTTGTTTATTATTATTTTGATTTATTATAATAGAAACTAAATAAATCATAATTTCATTTTTGAGGTTTATATATGAAATAGGAAATCTTTCTCTTTCCTTGATACATATTACATTTATCAATTTAAATTTTAGCCTCTTCTATTTTTTCTCTTGATCCTAAATCCAATTTCACAGCCTAATATTTGTCAACAACTTTTTCCTTTTCTTTCTTTTCTTTAGTTTTTATTTCTATCTTATCTTGGTGAATTTTTTAATTATTAAATATATTTTTACTCAACCATTATTTAATGTTATCAGCTGTTTCTTTTTCTGGAAATCCTTCAACTATTAAGAATTCTTATACCCAAACTTCTTTTTGTTATTATTATTATTATTATTATTATTATTATTGTTATTATTATTGTTATTATTATTGTTATTATTATTCTTATTATTGTTATTGTTATTATTATTACTATTATTATTATTGTTGTTGTTATTATTATTACTATTATTATGGTTATGATAGTAATGGATCTTCTGTTTGAACTCCAACAACTTCATCATCTGAATCATTGTTATCTAATGCATCAATATCAAATAAGATTGGATAACCATTAATTTCATTATCATGATATTGAATAATTTGTTAAGCACAATTTTTGTTAAAGGCTATTATAATTCCTGTTCCAGTTTTAAATTTAGTGTCCAATTTATAATCAAATTCAACAGATTTTACATTTTATTTACCAATTAATTAGATTATTTCTTTATCTTTAGTACTCCATTTATTATGACTAAATCTAATTTTAATTTCTTCCTAATCTCCATAATGTCTTAATCTCTTAATAAGTTTATCCATATGTGCTTTAATAAGGTACTCTCTATAATAAATCTTATTAAAAACCTTTCATAAACATCTTCAATATCTTATTCACTATCAGACCCATCTTCATATTGATTTAATAAATTATCTATATCATCTTGTTAATCTATAACTCTTAATAATATAATTACATTTATATTTGATGGAATCCCAAAATCTCAAGCTATTCTAATTTGGTTGACTTGGTTCACCATTTGAATTGTAGTAATTACCATACTCATCAAACCAACCCTTATATTAGTCATAATAGAAATCTATATAATCTCCGTCCTCTTATATAGTAAAACCAGAATGATCTTTGAATTCTTCGTATTCTTGGAAACGATCTGGGTCAGCCCTTTTGCGTGCCATTAATTAATTTATATTAGACAATAAATTATTTTATATTTTATTGAAAATGAACTTTAACATAACTTTTACCAATTTCCAATAAGATTTCTCATTAAATTTAAGGCTTTCTTTCCTCTTTATTTCAAATACAATTTATTTCAAATTTTTTTGAGCAGATGAATATTTCTTTGATCATAAGAAATTAAATATTCCCATGCTCTAAACCTTTTTATTTGTTCTCTAATTTAAGTATAATAATCTTATAAGCTAAATTAATTAATTGGTTGAATAGAATCTTTAAAAATTATTCATATCATCTTTATCTCAAAATCAATTTTAAATGTCCTGTTCAACAATTGTATTTATGTGATTTTTATACCTATTCTAATTAAGTTTTCCAAATTATTTAATATAAATCTTATCAATTAAGAGTAATATGAATTTTTTATGGCAATTTTTGATTTTGCTTGCTGAATTACTTATAAATGCAATCTAAATTGTCAATAGTGATTATTAAGTTAAAATTAAATTTCTCATAAAGTTCAGATTTTTACACTATTAATTATATTAAAGTATGAAATCATAGGCGTAAATAATTTAATATGTAATTTAATTTTTACATTATTATAGTTGATTTAAGTTTGATAAAACAATTATTGATAAATATTGGGTTTGGGGATGTAAAATATTAACTAAAAATTTCTATTAAATATTTGATTAAAATAATAAGAATTTATAAGTATTGTTTTGAAAATTAAATATATTTTAATGGGAAATTTGTTCGAAAAATTGAAGAATTTATTTTCTACTTAAAAGTTAGAGGTTTGTATGGTTGGTTTAGAGAATGTTGGTAAAACAACAATGCTAAATTAATTATCAATGGGGGATCCTTCATTTACTGTTCCTACAGTGGGTCTTAATGTTAGGACTGTAAAGAAAGGTGGAGTGACTATGAAAGTAGAAGTGTATTAAGAAATAGATCTGGGATATTGGTGGCTAAGTTTAATATAGACCAGAATGGGGAAATTATGCTTAAGGTTGTGATGCACTTATATTCCTCGTTGATACAAGCAATGTAAAAATGTGTATTAGAATAGTAAGCAACATTAGGCACATCAAAAAAGGAATTGCATAATTTGTTAGATAATAAATCATTGCGAAATATTCCAATCTTGATTATTGGAAATAAGATTGATGTTAATCCTCATCTAAATGAAAAATAATTGATAGAAGGTATTAAAATATTAATGTAGGTTTAAATTTGGATTACATAACATCAAATGCATGGGCTGTAGCAATGTGTAGTGCATTAACAGGAAATAATATTACTCAAGTAGTAGATTGGTTGATTACTAAATCAAAAAAACAATGAGACTATATATATAATATATATTTGTAATTCAATAAGAAAAACATATTATGATTTCATTTTTATTTCAAAATACCTTTTAAAATAAATCATGATTCATTTTGTCAAAATTTATAAGGTTAATTTTACTTTAGAATTATCATAATAAATCTTTATTTTATTCTATTCCTCTATTATGTTATGGAAAATATTAAGTTTATTTTCATGTAAATTGATTATTGTAAATTTAGTTAACTATTTTATTATGAAAAAATATATTACTAGTGATGATATGAGATTAAAAAGTGCTGCGTAATGTAAATTTCAAGAGTTCATGAGTATAAAACCAGTTTAAATTACAACTACAAGATTATAAACTGGAACAACATCATCTAGAAATATGGAAGATTTTACAAGGCCATAATTATCAGAACCTAAATTTCTAGGAATTTTGAGAAGAGCTAGTTCTTAATTCAGTGTTGATAAACCAATTGATGAAGCTCATTAATCTTAAAATTAGTCGTTAAAGGCTATTAGTTCAGAAAGAACGTAAAAAGTGTGACTATTACAAAAGTACAATGAGGGCCTCATAAAAAATTGTAGTAACTTCTGAAAATCTATAAACTTAAGAAATCAAAAAGAGAATGAAATTTGATCCTTCGATAAGATAATAAGTTAGCATATTGAAGATTAAGATATTGAAAAATCTACCTTTAAAAAAGTTTCTTCTCTTTTTAGTTGGTAAAGAAAAAATTTTATTTGATCTCTTAAGATTAAAATATATGCCATAAGCTATTGAAATTATGTAAAGTATAATTGAGAAAGCTATTGGAACAAAGAATATAATTGTTTTTATAGAGATTTTACAGTTTATTGCAGAGACTCTTGAAAACTCTAATTAAATTGATTTAGCAATACATTTTTATAATTAAATACGAATCGGATGTACTTATTCAAAATAAACACTTGATCTATATAAAATGAAATCTTTAGTTGGTTTAGCAAGTTGTTGCATGGAATTTTAATGTTATGAATATGGAGTTAAATTTTTAAAAAAGTGTTTATAATATGCTTGGATTAATAATAATTAAGAATTTGAAAACATAGTCTATTAAAAATTGGGAATTTTTTATTTCTATTTAGGTAATATAGAAAAAGTAAAAAATCATTATATATTTCTAGGCTACTTTTTATCATGAAAGATCTCTTAATTATGATTATGAATTAGATAATTCTCCTTTAAAACAATTAAGTTGTGATACACTTAGGAATTATCTTAATAAGAATTTTTCTAAAAATATAGCAGAAAACATTAATAATCTTTTTTTAAGCAAACTTAGTCTAAAATTTCATGTTGATATTCTTTAATTTTCAGAAGATCTTATTAAAGGTATTGAAATAACTCCCTCACCAAGAATATTTTTAGCATCTTAAGATGGATCAAGAAGATTGTCTGTTTCAACTGAATTTAGAGAATTAGCGAATTTAAAAATAAATGGATAAAATTTATTATCTTAGATTTTAAATTAATAAGAATTTGATTTTGAAGTTTATACACCTAAACATTCATGTAAAATAAATTATTATGATAGTCAGAAATGAAAGTTCTTGTTTCAATTTCCTTAAAAATAAAAAAATACATCCATAAGAAGTTTTTCATGATCCTAAATACAATAATAATCCATTTGTATTGAATGATTTAGGTGTTGAACCTAATAAAAATTAACTAAATTTTGCTGAATATCTAAGCAAGTATAAATTATCACTTCAAAAAAAAGTTGATTTAAGATTATAATAAAAATTTGACATTAACATTGAATAAAAATTATAATATGTAGTAAGTAGCAATTACAAAACATTTTAAAGAAAAAATAAAATTTTGGTAATGTTTTTTTTGTATTGAAGTTAACTCACAAAAATTAAGAAAACTCAAAAAAAAAGAAACCCTTAGATGAGATGAAAAAGTTTAATAATATTAGCACACTTTATCAGTAACTAATTAATAAATTGCTTAGTGTATAATGAATAAAGTAATACTGCTTATATAAAAATTTCATACTCTTAATGTAGAATATGTTTGGTGTTCTTTTGTATACCTTTTCTTTAACCATTCATAATCAACTTGTTCTTATTTAAGTTTCTCTATTTCACTTCTTAATTCTACTACCTTAATTATACAATAGAATTCAATACAATTTTATTTATTCTATGAATTTCATTTTAATAAATACTGCATTATTCAGAATTCTCTTAATTATTTATAATAGATAACTGTTGTTCTTTAATATATAATTCTTATTTAAGAGTTTCCAATTCTAATTATTATCCTGAGCTTGATTAAGTTGTTTTTTATTTATAATCATATTTTATTCTTAAAGCTTGTAATTCTTATTCTTTAATTTACAAAGTTTATTTCATTTAATTAAATTCTTTTAAAGTTTTTGATTCCTCAAATTATTTTCTACTTCTCCATTCCAAAACTTCTTATTCTCTTAAGATTAATAATCCTTTATTGTATTCCAAGTCATTCTATGTATTTCTTATTTTATAATAGCATAATACTTTAGTTAAACATGTAAATCATCAATTTTTTATGTTAAAACTTGTACTACTTTTAAATTATCATTTTATAAATGATCTATTTATTAACCATGCTTATTTTAATATCCAGACAATTTAGAATATAGAAAATTAACTTCCTCTTCTTTTGTTTTTGCAGTTTCTTTGAGTAACTCATTTTCTTTTATTAATTTTTAATTTTGATCGTTATATTCATGATTCTAATGAGTAAAATTATTTTATTTACTTTCAATTTAGATGCTTATAATTCAACAGCCATTTTATCATATCGATGCATTAAATCTTCAAGAAATGGTTTGAGTTCGTTAGGATTTAAATTATCTGTTGAATTCCTATTTTTAAATTCACTTTGAGAAGTAGGTTTTATTGGAATAACCTTTATTAATTTTTCACTTGATTTATTTATTCTAATAGCATGCAGAGAATTTTATCTTTGTTTTATCATTTATAATATATATATTATTTATAAATGAAAAATATAATATCCATTAATCTATTATTAAAATATATCTGTCAAATTATCAATTAAAATCAATATTCAAACTAAAAAGAAATTATATTAAATAAAAATATGTTCCTTAATCTTTATAATTTGTTTACGGATGTTTATAAATTATGGTGTGTGAGAATAAAATTTATAAATAGACTAAAGTTTAAAAAAAGGATAAATGAATTAGACATAAGATATCTTAAACCTTAATAATGAGGATACATATAGGTGTTGAATAAAGAACATCAGAAAAGTTAAATAGAATTAAATTATTAATTAAATTAAATTACAGCAATATGTAATACCAGAATAGAACTAAATTTGAGCAGGAGACTTAAATTTTTTATACAGTAAACAAAAAGAAGTTTGATGATGGAAGATTTGATCAGGAGAACGAAAATAGAAATTTAGTGCTCTATGAATTAGCATAATTAGAAAATATCTAGAAATCCTATTTATAAGATTTGGAAATAAAAGACTCTAGCTTTTTTAAATCATTTGCATTAATAAATGCTATATTTATAGTTCAATAAAATATGAGTAATCTAAAATAAAACTTTGAACAAAGAGAAGATCGATTATTTGGAGTTTGGCTTTGGTAATAAGGAGAACAACATTTAGTAATTGTAGATGATTAAATACCTTGTATATTTAGAGGGAATTATCCTGAATTAGCAACAATAATTTCAAAATATGAATGGCCAATTATTTTATAAAAAGCAATAGGAAAATTTTTAGGATATGGATATAATTCATTTAACAGCTTAAAAAATGAAACAGTTGATTTTTTTATCTAAGTAGCATTTATATAATATTAAATTAGATGATAACAGGATCAATAATTATTGAATAAGAATTTTAATCTATTGAAGAATTAGAAAAAATAAGCAGAGATAAATAGGTCATATTATTTGTTAAATATACTTAAAATTCCTAAATTATAGCTTCTATAATTGAATTTACATAAATTTATATGGAAGGAGAATAAAGGTTGATTAGATTAATTGCTCCAAACTAATAATCTGTTTTTGCATAAGGTAATATTAATAATTGAATTCTAAGGTAGATCAAAAGATTATAGATCATGTTATCTTAATTGGTAAGAGTTTAAATAGAATTTTTAAACTGTTCATTAATTGATTTGGAAGGATGATTATCGAGTAACTCCAGTTCAATTAAAGAATCCAAGTGAGAGAAGTTTTGGTTCTAATGAAAACACATTATAGAATTAATATGGTTTTATTGAACATACATATTTATATAAATTTAAATTAGATGATGATGATAACAATTACTAAATTACTATTTGGCAAAAAGATTATATAATCAATGAAGGAAAGATAGAAATTTTAAATAACTATTCAAGTTAAAAATTGGGTTTAATTAGAATTTTATTATTTCAAGAATTTTAACCTAATTAGTATAAATTTATTGATGGTAATTGTAATTTCTTAAGCTATATATCTATTAATCAAAAACTTAAAAAAGGTGATTACTTTATACTCTGTCAAGGCTACTTTAACTAATTACAATAAAGGGACTTAACTCTTACAATTAAAGGTCTATAAGTACCACAATCTATTATTCCAGATCAATAATAGGATTCAAAATTAATCAAATTAATTACAACCATGATAATGAATCATACTTCATTAGAAAACACGAGATCAATTTAAGAACCTCAGATTCAAGTGACAACTAATAAAGCGTACGGTTTTCTGTATTTCTATTATAAAAATAAAGGAACTATTGAAATTTATGAACAAGTTAACTTTTAACAATTAGGATTCTTTATTGAATATAATTCATTAACTCAATAATAATAATTTTAAATCAAAGTTTAGTAAAATCATTTTTAAATATAATTGTATACTTTAGATCCAAGAATTATAATACAATAAGAGAATCTGAGTTTTAAATATTGCTATACATACAATAATTTAGATAAATAATAATAGTAATAATAGTAAGAAAAATAATAATAATAGTAATTATAGTAATAATAATAGTAGTAATAATAGTAATAATAATAATAATAGTAATAATAATAGTAATTGTAGAAATTATAGTAATAATAAAAAGGGCTGATAAATTGCAATTAGGTAGATGTATCGATAAAACAACATAAACAAGGTATATAAAGAAATATAATAAGGGATTTGGATATAATTTTAAAATAATTCTGAACATAATGTCTAAGTAGAATTGATATTTACTTAATTGGAAAACTTAAACCTAGTTTCTAATCAAGAATTTTAACATTCTGGAAATAAAATCTAATTTGTTATTTAAAAATAAACTCAACAATAGATGTTTTTTGATATTGTTTAAATTAATTGTCCATATCATTATAAGTTGGAATTGAATTGTTCAAATGTAAATTGAGAATCATCTGTATTAAGATCTTCTAAATATTTATATATTAGTTAATTAAAATCAACTTTAAAATTAATCCATCATTTTAGTGGTTGAAACAACTTTAAAAAGATCACCAAATCTTTCTTCAAGGTCTACTTTCAAAATATAAACGATTTTCTTAAAATAAAATCACTTAAATACTTCTCTACATAAATAACATTCAGTTTTTTATTTCCATATATCAACTGCACATTGATAGCAAGTACCTCCATGTCCACAATTCATAAAAACTGCATTAGGTCCTCTTTCATAACAAACAATACAAATATTACTAGTTTGACTAATATCAATTTTTTAATTTTAAATTGATTCATCCCTAGCAATCTTTTAGTAATAAATATTTTAAATTACAGTTATCAATTAAGAATTACTTCTTTTTTTTTCCACTTAAGGTTTGTTTTTAATTGTCTAATTAATGGAAAATAATTATTTTTCAGTTATTTTTAAATCTAATTCTTAAATCATTTAAGATCCTATTCCTTAACTTGAAAAAGCTCTTTTGTGCCCTTTTGATGACTTCTTTATAATAGGTGATCCATTTATGGAATCCTAACCCTTATTAATTTATCTTTTAGGAATGCTGAAATAAGCTGTAGAAATCTTCTACATTACTTAAGGAACTTGTGTTCTTGATGTAATTACATTCAAGTTCTATAAAGTTTAATTATTTCTTTAAGTATGTGTAGATAACTGTTATTAATTACTTAATGGTTCATCATCTTAAAGTATACTTAAAATGTATTCATTAATTTCTGTATGGAAATAAATCGAATAGAACATTATAATAATAAGCTCAGCTATTACAAAATATTGGAGAATTATAAAATTCCTAGAGTAATTTAGTTTATTTGTTAAGATTTCTAAATAACCTAAAGAAGTTAGCCCTAAACATACTGTGATGTAAATGGACAATTGTGCAAACCAAATAAAGTAAATTACTAAATTAGTTTAAGCATGATTACTTTTCGATTTTTAATAATTTGATTTCTCAAATAAATATTAAACTATCTTATTAAAAGTTACTATTAGACAACCTAAACTGATGCCAATAGAACAAAATAAACCTAACCACAAACTCCATAATGCAGCACTCCATTCCCAATTTATTATTTTATCCAATTTTAAAGATACAAATGTTGAACATATCAAAATATATAATCTAAAAATTGTAGTTGTCTTATTTAATGTTCTAATTGTATCCAACATGCCTCTATCAGTATACCATCTATAACAATTAATTAATAAAGAACACAAAAGTATAATATTGCTATATAAGTACAAGGCTTATTCTAATTTTTCATTTACTAAAAATGATGTTATAAAAAGGCTGTCTAAAAATGTAATTATTATTTATATGTTTATTCTTTTCTTCTTACTTGATATGAGATTATAAATACAATCGAATATGTTAACTTTTCATTTACAAATAATGATAAAGAAAATTCAACAAATCAATAAGTAGGTAGGATTACAGTACTATAAACAACATTATTTTGTTAACTTAAAATTAAACTTAAAGGCTCAGGTTGAGTAATAAAATTGTTACAAATAACAATTTTATTATTATCGAATTAAACAATATCCTTGATCTGATACGATTTCTAAAATTGATGAACTAATTAGTTACTTTATTTCTTAGATTGAAGTTGTTAAATTCATTTCATTTTATGTTTGCATTGTGGACATCTATATATTTTAAGTTTATTATTTAATCGAAAAATATTCATTAAATGATAATTTTTTATTTTTTTAATAGTTAGAATCTTTTAATATTAGATTTAAGATGTCTTTTCTGTTCTTTTTTAAATATAAAATTTTATTTTGAACTATATTTTTATATAGTAAATTAGAGTTTAGTGAAATTGATTTACAAAAATTAAATGTAAAATTGCATAGTCTTAATAAACTTTAATTTAATGTATTAATTAAAATTCCTCTGTATCTAATTATTCATGACAAAAACAAAGGGCCAAATCTTTAAATTATTTAATATTTTTATGGGAAATAATATTATTGAATCATAATTGATTTTTTGAGTAAAAAAAGGTAGAAATAATGTATATATATTTTTAAAAATAATTTTAATAATTTTGAAGTGCTGATAAATTTTATTTTCATGTTTGATATTAAGTAATAAATATTTTTTGGAATTAAATTGTAAAGTTATAGAATGAGATAAAAATAAAGTTTTAGAGTATGATGTAAATTGAAACTAATAAAAAATTGAATAAAATAATGTTTAATAATTATGAATTCTTGCTATATTTATTTTACTAGTTATTAATAGAGTAAAATAATATAATATTAAATTTTGTATGATATAAATAAGTACAAATTAAGAGGGAGAGTTTGTTTTTGATTCAAAAGAGTAAGATTATGTTTTATTGGATCTCAATACTTTATAAGATTAATTGGAATAAGGAAGAAAAAATGAAATTTTAGATTTATTGCAATAAGTTATGAAATCAAATGAATATTAATCATCAACAGAAAAGGTGAAGAGTTAAATAGAATGGGCAGTATAGACTGTGAATGAGCATCCTTCAGAATAGTATGATATATTATAAAGGAATATTAGTTATGATTTAGAGTAATAGATAGAAAATTAAAGATATCCTGAAGTTCATTCAGCAAATAAGATGATTGATATGAGTATAGGAAAGGTGAAGGCAAGAGTGCAATATATGACATGTTAAGAGAGAAAAAATCTAATGAAAGTATATTTATAAAAAGTATAGAGACAAAAAGCTTAGAAAGAAGTATGCAATAAATATATACATGCAAATAAAATAAGTTTTATAAGGAATAGTTACAATAGAAGTATTAGATGATGCAAAAGTAGATAATAGATAGAAAGAGGAATGAAATATAGGAATAAAGATAAAAGCATTTTTAAATAATGCAAAGAAGCAAAGGTAAATTGGGTTAAATGTAAGATTAAATAATATGAATATAAGATTATAAATAAAGGTAGAAGAGAATAAGTAATTAAAAGAATCGATTCAATTAGGGTTGTATTAGACGATGAGTGAATTAAGAAGTGAGAATGTAAAAGCTTATAGGAGAGTAAAGGTGATGGAATAATAATAATAAGAGAAATAACAATTATTTTGGTAAACAAAATAAGTGATAGCAAAAACAAATTATAAAAGGAAGGTAGAAGATGCTTATTTATAAAATATGTAAGCTTAAGATAGACTATAATAATTGGAATAATAGGAAATGTAGTTAATGCATAGATTACGTTAGACTGAATAGTAATATTAAATGAGTTCATAGAAATTAGAATAAATGAAATCGAAATCATATAAAGATTTAGGGAATATGTGGAGTTGAATGATTTTTAGTTTGTATTTATTTATTTAAAAAGTTGTTTATGGAAATTAAAAAATTTAAAATAAAGATTTTTAATAAATGGGTGTGAGAGTGACTTATAGAAGAAGAACAAGTTACAATACAAGATCAAATAAGATTAGAAAAGTAAAGACTCCAGGTAAATAATGAATTAATTGAAGGTGGAAATGTTGTTGTTTAATATCCAAATAAGAAAACAACTGCCTCAACATGTGCTGATTCTAATTTGAATGTTGTATTGAATGGTTTAAAGAGAATCAGACCTACAAAATTAAAACAACTTTCAAGAAGATAAAGAACAGTATCAAGACCATATGGTGGAGTATTGAGTGCTGGAGCTCTGAAAAATAGAATCATTAGAGCATTTTTAGTAGAGGAAGTTAAAATCGTAAAGTAAATTAAGAAATGATACATTTATACAACAATCAAAAAATAATAACAATCAATGTTCTGAATGCAGAGCTTAGATCTATTAATCAATAATCTGATCACAAGGATATTGATCTTCTATTAAACTTTCTACTATAAACCCTTCAATACTTCTATTAATTGAGGACAATGTAACTTTTGTATGAAAAGTGAATTTATACCTGTCTTCATAATCCTACTATAATAATTATTTAGTTGCAGCACTTACATGAACTTAACCTTTTTTTCCATTCGATTCCATTTTATTTGCTATCAAAACATCAGGACCATAAATATCATATCTAACAATGTCTGTACCCATCACTCCTCCAAATACACATCCTGTATGAATACCTATTCTCATATCTAATCCATCAAATTCTATCTATTTTCTAACTACTTCTATTACTCTTATCATTTCAAATCCCAAATCTACTATATTCTTAGCTTCATTTATTGCATTTCTATCATTAAAATCTATCATTCCTATTGCTACATAACAATCACCTATTGTATATAGTTTATAAACATCTAATTCATAACATTTTCTATCGAATTCTACAAATAAATTTTTTAACATTTTTAACACTTATTCAGCACTCACTTTACTTGAATATTCTGTAAATCCAGCTATATCAGCAAATAAAATTGTAACATCTTCTATTTTATCACTTAAACATCTCGCTCTTGTATTATCATCAAAAAACGTTTATAAAATCTAAATTTAATTTTATTTATACATGTCTTGGAAGTAAATATTGTAACAATTATGATTCTTTTGCTTATTAATTCTAAAATATATTTTTCTAATTGAAACATGCCACTTATTGTTCTTCCAAAAAATATGAATAATTCATATTATATATTACTGCAGCAAATACAAAAAATATAGAAATTCTATATCCATCAATAAATATTAATATTCCTGCTTCTAATAAAAAACTACATATACAAAATAATATTTTTATCCAAAAATGAAGTAATTAAATATTACTAAAGAAAGATTGGATAAATATCATCTCTACAATATGTAAATAACTTAAAAAACTATTCAAATCAAAAATGATAAATAGTCCTCCTATTATCAACTAAAAGCTTAACTCTAAATATATCAGCATTATCCAATAAGATATAATTTTCTTTTTATATATCATTAGAGATATTAAATTTAAAGCACACCCTATCCATTACAATATTATTAATGGAAGTGATATTACATTATAATCTCCAATCAAACAAAATTATTTGATCAAATAATATAAAGTATAAATTTGAATTATTTTGTTAGTTACAGTCTGTGATTGTTAATAAATGTATTCATGATACTCTATATAATTATTCTAATTTAAAAAATATGATTTCTTAAGTAATTCAATAAATGAACTTTCCAAGATTGCAGTTTCTTCAATTCCATTTTCATTTTTTAATAAAATTACATTCTAAATAAATATTATACTAAATACAAATAATTAGTCGTAATCAATAAAATGATCTACTTCTGGTTAATACTTTTCAAAATGAAATTTACGTGATAACATATTTTCTAGATTTTGCAATAATCCTGTTTTAACACCTTAAATAAAACTAGTTTTATCTTCATTATCATTATCAGCAGCAATATTTAAATTGTTAATTTAATTTGAATTACAATTAGATAATTATTTTTATAATCCCTTAAAATTTAATTGTTCATCAGTTAATGATGATGAATTCTACCATAATTATGATGTTTATTATTATTATTAGAAATTCCAAGATTATTAAAATTATAAAATAGGTCGAGAACGTTGATTTAGTGGATCTTAGAGAGCTTAAGTTCTTTTTTTCAATCCATTTCTTGAGAAGGATTGGCTTTTGACTCTATTTGAAATGGTAATTGTATTTTGTTTACTAGAATTATTACTAATATCATTTTTCATAATAGGATTTTTATTATTAAGTTTTTAGATATAAACATAAGTTGGTCTTAAACCTAGCCCTTTCATTTCAACATATCTAACATCAAATTCGATTTTATCATTATTTAATTATTCAAAAGCTTTTTCTGATAAAGTAATCTTATCTTCTTAGCCAGTCGAACATACTCTACTTGTTGTATTGACTGTATCTCCAATTAATGAAAATTAAGGTTTATGGAATCCAATAACTCCAGATATTGCTCTACCATAATGGATTCCAATTTTACCTATTAATGGCTAACTATTACTGCCCCATCTATTATCTTTTAATAATAATTTTACAATTTTGATCTTATATAAATAATCATCATTTCAGCAAGATTTAAAGCTCTTTAAACTGGTTAAATTTCAGATAAATAGACTAATTCCTATTCACATGCTTTTAAACCAGCTGATGCCATATAAGTTTTACCAACTGTTTCTATTTTTTAAACTCCACAAATTTCACAATATTTATCGAACGTTCTAAATAAATCATCTAAGAATTGTATTATATTCTCCTATTCTTCCATTATAATTTAATCAAAATTACAAATATCACAAAAAACTATTGCTACTTCTCCTTAATTCTAATGTATATTATATTGATCAGCTAATATATATAATATAAATGAACATTACTTTCAATTAATCTATGTCTAATAAACTTTGGTAATAAAATACCCAAGATGTCATGAATTTTATTATTCTCTTCTATAAAATTAATCTAATTTGTTGCTTAATCTTCTTCTAACAATATAAACTAAAAAAATTAAATAATTGTTACATAGCTCTTTATTAAATATTATTAGACTGAAAATAGTAGAATCAAAACAATGTTTACAATAATGAAATAAGGGGCAATATCAATTTCAATGATGGATCTATATACAAATTAAATTTCTACAATATGAAATATGCAATCAATACAACAACTGTAGGAATCAAGTATAATCTGTTATCATAAATAGGATGCAATTTACTTGACAATTAAAATGTCACTAACAATTCTGTAATATAATTATATAAGGAACTCATATTGGGAATACATAATCCCACTATTGATATCAAAGTAAAAGCTCCACAAATCATAAATTTAACTACTTCCAAATATTATAATTATCTAGAATTCAATTTAGTTATCAATTAAAACCAAAACAATACAACTTAAATTATCAAGTATATTATGTAAATAATGAGATAATAATACGTTTAATCTGATTAAGAATAAATTATTATTAACATCTAACAATGAAAACAAATTAATTATAAACCTTAAATTGTTGATTTCTTTCTCCATTTCATTATTGATTATGCTTTTTAAAATATTTAAGATTGCCAAGTACCTAATGATTTTTAAATTGTTTTCTTATTTAATAATACTAAAATACAATTAAAGATATAAATACATTTTTAAATATTAAGATCAACTTGTTCAAAATTTTCAAAAACTCTATTTATTTCTCTTTGTAATGTAAGTAGAAAATGATGTCTATAATAACTTTCACTTTTGTATAAATTGAATTAATTATAAATTCTTTAAAATCTTCCATCCATATCAGGCATTTAGAGCATAGCAAAATGTTATAACCATTACTCACTTATTTGAAGTAAGAATAGTGTCAACAAGATTTAGAAAATATTAGCTACTTCAAATGTAAATTGAGAATTAGGAATAATGATGGTAAAATGAGTCAATATATAAAATGAAAACGATAAAATATATGCTATGCTTGGAATTATAATTAATCCTGTATTTATTAAGGTATTTAATGCGTCATTTAGTGTGATTGATAGAAATGTATAAACAATAATTACATCTATATTTTAAATTTATGATTGATAAGCAAATATTAATTATGTAAAGATGCCTTAAAGGATAGCTTAAATTAATTGAATAATAATTTACATTTTATAGCAAAATAAAAGTAAGGACGTTATTTCTTTGAAATATTAATAAAGCTTTCTATTACTTTTTATTTATGAATATCTCTTTTGTTATTCTTATAAATTTAAATAAATTAAATGGTTGCTAAGATGTAAATAATGAGAGTATTAATAAAAGAATAAAATATGAATTCCAAAATTAAGTTGAATTAAGTATTGAGAAGACAGACACTTACTAAATAAAATGTTATAGCAAAGGAAGAAAAGAATAAAGTTCTTTAGAAAGCCATTCTAATTTAATATTTAGAGAGCACATTCAATAAAGGTACATAATAGAATAGGAATTCATTCAATTCATTAAATCCTTATAAAATAGCATCTGAATTATGAAATATTTATAATTCATTAAATAGACCTATAAATAAGTATAATATTTGTACATCTTTCATAAATAAGTCTAACTTTTAATGATTGTATCATTTTGTTAAAAAAAGTCTATTTATTAACATTTTCATATTTAAATTGCTAAAAATAGCTAAATTCTTATAGTAGAGCAACTTATAGATGATATCCTTAATAACTCTTTAGTAATCCTTAGTTTTCAAATATTAAGTTTAAAGTCATTTAAGGAGCATCAAAGCATTTTTAAAGATTTTCTAATGAGGATGGATTTGCATTATATAATAGTGTAACTTTAGAGAAACTAAGTAGTAATTTAAGATGATTGATCATAAAACTATTATTTTCAATTATTTTAAAGGCTTAACTGCTTAAAATAATAACAATAGTAGAAGTAGAATGAAAATCTTCAGATGTTTTTTTATTGGAAAGTTGAGATGGATTAATATTAGATAGTTATTTAAGAGAATGCATTTATGAACCAAACATAGGTTATTATTCTTAAAAGATTAAAGAGAATTATTATAAAGTTTTTTAAAAATAAGTTCGAAGATCTTCTTCATTATCTTATTCAAAGATAAATTTATTATGATGTTATATATCAGTTTAAGAAAGTATCGAGTTTGCAAATTTAAAATACTATTCAGTATAAAGTAATAACTGTAGTTAAGATTTCTCAACATTTTTAATAAAATCTTAAGCTTATTATTTTAAATTGTATTTAAATCCTAATATGATATTAGATTATAATGACTCTAATGAATTGTAGATGTATTCTTCTGTTTCAAATGTGTTTTATTGAGATGTTGCTTATTAGTTAACATAAGATTCAGCATCTTAATGATTGAATAAACAATAAGAATAATGAATTTAATGAATTTATTCATTATCTTGATTAGGAATGGTAGGGAGTGACCTTAAACCAATTTTGATATCATCAATCATTTCAGGGATTTTATTATTAGATTCTCTTATGAATAGAATGTATGGGAAATTAAGAAATTGTTCATACTCAGAATCAAGTTCAAACAACATATATAGTCTTTAATGATGACTATGCATCTACATATCAATTAACTTGAATGTACATATTTGAAGATTCTATTAAATAATGTAAGTAAGTGTATTTCTAAATTAAAGATAATGAATTACTAAATTTTATTAACACATACAAATTCATAACCAAAGGACTTGGCAATTTAGATTTGTTTCTCATCCAAACCATTTACATGAGTATTCTTAATCTTCTCTTCTCCTGTTGATGAATATAATAACTTTGTATATGACACTTAATTTAAACATAATTGTAATAATGCTAAACTGTTTTTGTCTTTATTATTAATTGATTAAATCATCTCATTAATATTCACTGCTTTTCTGTCTAATCTACTATCTTTCAATGCAATTTATCTTAAACTTCTGATATGCATAGATTATTGAATTCTATTATTAGATTTAGGTTAATATTCATTTTTTTCATAAATGTTAATTGGTTATACAACAATATTAAGATCTTATTAAGTTAAATTAGATAAATTGCTAATTAGTCTAAACTCTATAGATTAAGGCATATTTGCACTAATATCTTCTTCTTCATCGTCTTCCAAACTAATTACTTCATCTTCTTAATTTCTTCCTGTATTCAATGATTTATTTTATACTTTATTAGATAATAATATATCAGGTTTTGAGTCTTCTTTTGAATCTGAAGTCTTAAATAAATTTTGACTATTGAAAGATGAAGCTATCTCTTAAGCTTAAAACATCAATTCAGACTCTTTACAATAACAGATTTGATTCTTATAAATCACACTCTTCAGTTCAAAATTACCATCAAGAACACTATCTAAATTCATTGATAATCTTTAAATATTGTAGTATTATTCTGCATGAAAATCTTTTATTTATTTTATATCTAATTGATTAATCTTCTGAATCATTTATTATTAATATAAGGCAGCTATCGAATAATAAAATACAAAACTATTTGGTAAAAGGAATGTCAAATGCATTAGACTTTCAAAAACTAATTCCACTATATCTAAATAATGATTTACATTCTCTATTTGGGAAATTATTATATACATTATCTATATGTTTATATAATTAACATTTTTACAATTAAAAATGATATCTAAATAAATACAAGTGATAGTAATAAATCTTAAGGGTAATTTGGAACTTAAGGTTTTATCTAAAAATTCTTATAACAACGACACTTCAAACCTACTTTAATAACCACTCCTATCACCCAAGGAGTATTTTATAGTTTTTCTTAAGCAAATATAAAATTGTCATCTGATACTATATATGATTATGGATCTTTTTTTAACTAAAAATAACCCTACATACTATTTGAACTCTCAGTTATTTATATCGTCCCTGTAAATGACTTTTTAAATAGTACCAAATTATGAGAATCAACTAATCAGCTATACTTATTTATTACATTTATTTTATATTAATGGTTTTCTTATAGTTTTATCTGAATAACCACATAGTTGATTTTATACTGTATATATTTCATCATTACAATATAATACTAGTATATCACATGCAGCTATTTAATTTCTTTCTACTATTATCACATCACCAATTTATATTTCAGAAGAGTTTATTGATTTAATTAAATCCATTTTATCAGTATTTTTTGAACCCTTATTTTCTAATGGTTTCTTTATTTTTTAATTGTTTTTATCAAACATACTTGGCATCTATTATAAAAAATTCTTAATTGCTGGATCCTCAACTAATTTGATCTTCTATTAATTTTTTATTAGCATATCTTATAAGATCAATGGACTCATTATAGAAAACCTTGAACCTATTCTTTCCAAACGATTTAATTATTAATTTGTAGGACTTTTAGCTCTAGCAAAAGATTATCGAGATAGTTAAGATTACACTTTAATAATACTAATACACAAATACATCCAGATGATCTACTTCTTTGACTTGCTTGGCGTTGCAAATTTTCATTATTTTTTAAAGAAATTTTTCTATCTTTCTCTTTTACATCTTCTATTTTATTTTTTGTAGTAGCCTTTTATTTTATTCTTTTTAATATTTCTTTATTGCTTATACATTCATCCCATTATTTCAGTATTTTATTTTCTTGATTGTTTAATTTTTCATCCAGCCCATTTATTTTCAATTTATTATAAAACTCTACACTGATATGAGCAAACAATTAAAATGAGAAAATGAAATAAAGTTCATATTGTGGTGTATTACTACAATATCATAATTCTCATTACTTAGACCATATCGATGTTAACAATATCAAAGAAAGAATGCTTAAACTGTAATACAATATGTTATTCTTAACTACTCTTAAGGGGGCAAATATCAAAATAGATGCAATTGAATGACTTCTATTTATGTGATTACAGTAAGTGGAATAGCCATCAAGTTTTATTACTTCACCATTCTTGAAATGGAGCTATAAATTCAAAATTAATAAATGAACTTGATATGTATGCTTTTTGAATTCATCATAATAATGCAGTAAGTTCTTCATCTTGATAAATTAATAATATTTTCCTATCTAATTTTTATCAATTTAGAAATAAGATGTTTGAATTAAAAAACTTGCAATATAAAATCTCGAAACCAGCAAAAAATTTACTAATTAAAATGGTGAAAAGAATGATTATCATATCCTGATTCATCATCAAGTAAGTTTAAATTAAATTTTTAGTTACTCTTGTCTTCATTTCCTCAAAAATCTAATCTTGAAAGATTTTTTTTTTGTGGCGCTTAGTTTTTTTGTTGTTAATTAAAATTACAAATAAATTATGTTGAATTCCAAACTGAAAATTGTATTATTAAAATGAAAAATTAAATATATAATCAGAACAGACTCCAGTAAGATATGATTACTTAATATCTCACTTTTATATATTATAATTAAATTTATTAATCCATAGTAAACAATATTAATTCGAAATTTTAATATATATTTATAAAATTTCTAATTCTCAATAGAAGGATATAAAAAGAGTCTAAATTAGTATTAAATCATGAATTTAATTTGAAGTAAGATAATTTTTTTGAATTTGTGTATAAATAATAAATTTATAATTTATTGAATTTTAATTAATAATCATAAATACAAATAATTATGTAGTGCAGAAAATGGTTAAGAAAAATATATTTTCTTGAAGTTAAAAAAATAATTTGATATTTTTATTCTATAAAAATATTTAATTATATTTAAATACTACATACATATGGGAATCTGAATAAAAGAAATTATTTTTTCAAAAGAGAACTTAAATAAAATGATAAGTTAATTCACTAGAAGAAACTATGAAATAAGAAGAATATGTAAATAAAATAGGGATCTACAAGAAAAACAAAGGGATTGGTGTAATAAAATAAATAAACATATTAAATAAACAAATTTTATAAAAATAGTAAAGTTTAAGTAATAAGAAATGAAAAAAAATAATAATAATATTTTAGAACTTTATTTTCTTAATGAAAAACATTCTTTTTAGTATTGTTATTTTAAAATATTAGCTAAAGTATGATATAATTGAAGAGAAAGTAAAGGATAGTTAAGAAATAAAAATAGTATGGATAGAACATACTTGGAAAGATGAAATAGTTTAATAGGAATGAGAAATATAAGAATAGTATGAAGGTAAGAAGTATAAAAAATATTATAATAAAAATAATTAATGAACAACAATAAATTGAATCTCTTAGATGTTTTAAGAAAGAAAAGATAAGAATAATAAAGTGAGTAAGTTCCAAGAACTCCTCCAATAATAAAATAAAAATCGAAGGAAGAAATACGAAAATATTTAGTATAAAATCCAAAGACAAACTTAATAAGTCTTTTCAAAAAGAAGAGAGAGGATGATAATACACCTTGTACTCGTTAAAAACTGTTGAAATATTATGATAGTTAAGGTAGAAGTTCTATTTTGTCACCAATTTGTGCAACTAATCATGTTCCATAAAAGAGTGTATCAGATGAGAGTACAAATGCTTTATAGGTATGATATGAATTAAAAAAGGACAGATAACAATACCAAAGAGAATGTCATTAGTATCTCCAAGATTATAACATTTAAATTCATAAACATCAATACTGGAATCACCAAATGAGATAGAGAGTTTTTTAGTATAAGGATCTAATGCATCAAAATTAGATTTGGATGAACATTTTTTAAGAATTGAGAATGTAGATAATCCAAGAATAATGAGATCATAATCATAATGTTAGGATGAAGCATAATAAACAATGATACCAAATACTTTAAGTGTTCCAATGGGTAAAGGACCAAGGAGATTATAATCATTTTCAGTAGGTGATCCATTTAGAAATGTTATAAATGCAGCCGAATAGAGAAGATCTGTTAGATTAATGAGAGGACTAAGTGGAATTCATTAACCAAAAGAAACATAAATATTAGAGAGATCTAGAGATGAAGCTGGAAGAAAGAAAATGAACAATTTTGTAATATTACATGAATTAGGTAGAGGTGCTTTTGGAAAAGTACGTTTAATTTACAATGAAATTGATTAATAATATTATGCAATGAAGATAGCAGATAAAAATAAATTAAAAAGAAAATTATTAACAAAAGAGACATCAGCATATTCATTATTAGAACAAGAAGTAGCTATATTAAAAAAAGTTGATCATTAAAATATCGTTAGATTAGTAGAAGTTATTGATGATCCAGAAGAGAGGAAATTGTATCTAATTATGGAATATGTTAAAAAAGGATCTATCAATTCAAAATAGTATTGGAAATCTGAAGGTGTTAATATTGATTGGGATGAAGGAGAAAAACCACCAAAAATTAGTTGTGAAAAGATAAGAAAATATCTTAGACATTTTCTTCTTGGATTAGATTATCGTAAAAATAAACAATTATCTATTAAGTACATAACTTTGCAAGAATACTGCATAGAGATATTAAACCAGATAATTTATTAATTGATGAGTTTGACAATTTGAAAATAGCTGATTTTGGAGTTGCCTAAATGTATGATAGTTCATCTGCAGATTTGATCTAGGGTGATGTTGGAACTAAAGCATTTTTACCTCCTGAAGCATTTAAGACATCTTAAGTAAAAGGAAAACCAGCAGATATATGGGCTACAGGCATTACATTTTTTATACTCACTTAAGGACAACATCCTTTTCCTGCTAAAAATGTATAATAACTTAAAGAAGCTGTTTCTAATCATGAACTTAAGTTCTTTGAAGGAACTGATCCTGATCTTGCCGACTTTTTGACTTGTTGTCTAAAAAAGGATTCAAGATAACGTCATACACTTGAATAACTTATGGTATACATATTATTTACTATTTATTTAATAGGATCATCCATTCATTACACTTAATGGCGAAGAACCATTGATTGAACAAGAATTTTCAGATGAGAATTTCTTCATCTCAGAAAATGAAATTAGTAAAGCACTCTCTAAAGTTACTATTAGAGCTACTGTGAGAGTCTTTGCTAAACTTAGATAAAAACTTAATTAGTCTAGATAAAGGATTAAAAAATAGTAATGAATATATACTCATTTCATTCTTATATATATCTATCCTATTCATATATATACATTTCATTATAATTTACCTAATCATAAATTTTTTTATTATCTAATTATTCAATTGAAGAAAATCAGTTCAATTTTTTTATTATATTTTTATATATTTTTGTTATTTTGTTGATGAGAATTGAAAAAGATAAAAGAATTGTCCAATTAAAAATAAAAAGAAATGATGAATTAAAAAAAAGTTATTCTCTAAAATGAAATAAATAAATAAATAAAGAGAATTAGAAAATTAATTATAATCATAGAAAAATGAGACAGAAAGAGACAATATGCCATTAGATAAAAAGTAGGAGGAAATTGAAATTTGGAAATAATAGTACCTTAAATTGTAATTAGTGAAAGATGACTACAAAAGAATCCAAAAAGAGAATTAAGAATTCAATAATATTATTTTTGGTTTGGAGAACCAATTTAAACAAAATAAAATTAATTAAATTAACTCATGTAATAGTTAGAAAATACCAATAATTGTAATTTACTAAATGCATATTAATATTTTTAATGAGAAAAGTAAAGTGAATCAAAACTTAATATAATTACAAAATATTTAAAAATAAAAATAGGATTTAGAACATGAGTATAAAATTATATTGACTTAAATGATAATTTGAATTAGATCATTAAGTAAAAATAATTAATTACTATAATTGAAACAAATAAGTATCATTTACTAATATCAAAATAAATGAATTCTAAAATAGTTTTGTGTAATATAGAAATACAATAGAAGACAAATCATAGGAGATTGAAAATCTAAGAAGATTACTAATTAAATTGCGTTAATAAATAATGTAGTTAGAGGATTAAATAGAATAACTAAAGCAATTTTTAGAGAATGTAAATGTCTATATTAAAATATGTAGTATAGAGTATTATCTGCAGAAATAGATCAAATAAATGATGTAATTAAATTAGTATTTAATATGTTAATGAAGGCTCAATCATTAAAAAACTATAAAATTAATTAAGAATTCTTATAGTTTTAACAAGTTAAATTGAAAGTTGACGTTTAAGATTATATGATAAAGAAAATGAAGTGAAAGAAGTGAGAAGGTTCAGTAGACAATATAAAATATGAATTCATTATGTTTTATTAATTTGAGACATAATTCAAGAAAGAAAAAATAAAATAAGTTTTATTTTTGAGTATTATTTAATTTATTTATGAAAGTTTTATAGGCACTTAAATCGACAAAATTTCCATTTGCTTCTTTCACAAACAGAGATGTCAAATCTGAGTTTCAATAATTAAAGCCTCATTTCGAAACACTTGTGCCTGATCTTTATTTGCAAAAGAGACTTAAATTACCGACAGATAAAATTATGAGATAAAGAAGAATGATGAATTATCATATTGAGTTTGATAAAGATGGAAATATGACAAGGTTCCATGAAGAATATCGTCTAGATGATTATGACGAAACTAAATGTCTCTAATATGCAAATGTCTACGAAGAATTAACTAAAGAAATGAAACAAGATTAGATCTATAAAGATTTTCTTTATAATACTCTCCAAATAACTTGGTAATTAAAATAATACAAAAAAGCTTAAATCTCTGTTCATGCAGTCAGAACCGTAATAATCTTTTATATACAATAGATATCATATCCTGATCAACCTGCCTAATCAACTCCAGAGGGACCAAATAGAGATGGAAATGATCTAGAAATTATTGGAGTAGTTAATAAAATTAACTGTTAAGGAGCAGATAGTCAAATATATAGTCCAGATAAATCTAAACTGCTATTTGAAATGAGTCTCGAACCTGGAGAAGGCTACATTATAGATGATAAATCACTCTGGAATTATGCCACTTCCCATAAACCAGTTGACTAAAACGCTGTAGGAGTTAGAGATATTTTGGGGTTTGTACTTAAAATCGATGAATGAAAATACATAACCACAATTATATATAATATAATAAATCAATTTAATTTTAATTCTGCTTATTAATAAATAAATTATTTAGCTCTCTTTATTATATAATTAATCAAATTTATCAAGCTAAAGTTTAATACTTCTTAAGCTCCTTCTATTTCATCCCTGTTTCTGAATTTTATTATTCTCTATTTATTTTTATCATCCTATNAATTTGGAAATAATAGTACCTTAAATTGTAATTAGTGAAAGATGACTACAAAAGAATCCAAAAAGAGAATTAAGAATTCAATAATATTATTTTTGGTTTGGAGAACCAATTTAAACAAAATAAAATTAATTAAATTAACTCATGTAATAGTTAGAAAATACCAATAATTGTAATTTACTAAATGCATATTAATATTTTTAATGAGAAAAGTAAAGTGAATCAAAACTTAATATAATTACAAAATATTTAAAAATAAAAATAGGATTTAGAACATGAGTATAAAATTATATTGACTTAAATGATAATTTGAATTAGATCATTAAGTAAAAATAATTAATTACTATAATTGAAACAAATAAGTATCATTTACTAATATCAAAATAAATGAATTCTAAAATAGTTTTGTGTAATATAGAAATACAATAGAAGACAAATCATAGGAGATTGAAAATCTAAGAAGATTACTAATTAAATTGCGTTAATAAATAATGTAGTTAGAGGATTAAATAGAATAACTAAAGCAATTTTTAGAGAATGTAAATGTCTATATTAAAATATGTAGTATAGAGTATTATCTGCAGAAATAGATCAAATAAATGATGTAATTAAATTAGTATTTAATATGTTAATGAAGGCTCAATCATTAAAAAACTATAAAATTAATTAAGAATTCTTATAGTTTTAACAAGTTAAATTGAAAGTTGACGTTTAAGATTATATGATAAAGAAAATGAAGTGAAAGAAGTGAGAAGGTTCAGTAGACAATATAAAATATGAATTCATTATGTTTTATTAATTTGAGACATAATTCAAGAAAGAAAAAATAAAATAAGTTTTATTTTTGAGTATTATTTAATTTATTTATGAAAGTTTTATAGGCACTTAAATCGACAAAATTTCCATTTGCTTCTTTCACAAACAGAGATGTCAAATCTGAGTTTCAATAATTAAAGCCTCATTTCGAAACACTTGTGCCTGATCTTTATTTGCAAAAGAGACTTAAATTACCGACAGATAAAATTATGAGATAAAGAAGAATGATGAATTATCATATTGAGTTTGATAAAGATGGAAATATGACAAGGTTCCATGAAGAATATCGTCTAGATGATTATGACGAAACTAAATGTCTCTAATATGCAAATGTCTACGAAGAATTAACTAAAGAAATGAAACAAGATTAGATCTATAAAGATTTTCTTTATAATACTCTCCAAATAACTTGGTAATTAAAATAATACAAAAAAGCTTAAATCTCTGTTCATGCAGTCAGAACCGTAATAATCTTTTATATACAATAGATATCATATCCTGATCAACCTGCCTAATCAACTCCAGAGGGACCAAATAGAGATGGAAATGATCTAGAAATTATTGGAGTAGTTAATAAAATTAACTGTTAAGGAGCAGATAGTCAAATATATAGTCCAGATAAATCTAAACTGCTATTTGAAATGAGTCTCGAACCTGGAGAAGGCTACATTATAGATGATAAATCACTCTGGAATTATGCCACTTCCCATAAACCAGTTGACTAAAACGCTGTAGGAGTTAGAGATATTTTGGGGTTTGTACTTAAAATCGATGAATGAAAATACATAACCACAATTATATATAATATAATAAATCAATTTAATTTTAATTCTGCTTATTAATAAATAAATTATTTAGCTCTCTTTATTATATAATTAATCAAATTTATCAAGCTAAAGTTTAATACTTCTTAAGCTCCTTCTATTTCATCCCTGTTTCTGAATTTTATTATTCTCTATTTATTTTTATCATCCTATACCAAATCTTTCTATTTTCTTTCTATATTTTTTTATTCTTATTCTAAAAATCCCATCTTACATAAAATTTATCAATTTCATCATGTTTTTACTCTATCAGACTTATTTGAGAATATTTTTGATCTTAGATTGATTTACTTTTATGGTAAGAATTAGATGACAATTATTTTTTCTGCAGTCTTATTTTTTCCAATTAATTCTTTTGGTGGATGATTTTTGTATATAAAAGAATTGATTTCTTATAATTTAAAGAATTTTATGAATTGTGGATTATTTCTCAATTTATATTTTATTTTAAATTCGTTATTTAATAGTTTGGAAAGAACTCTTTAATTTAGAAAGGGGTTTATAAAGTATGATTATGTTGTAGGTATTTAATTCAGTATGCTTGTAATTAATATTTTTATGTAATTAATTTTAAAGGCAAGCTTTAACCTCCTACACAAGAGAATTTAGAATTAATGAATCTATAAAAATTTCTAAAGATATTAAACTCAATTGTTTTTAGAACAACTTTTTTGTTTTAAATAAATAATAATCATTATATTTTAAGCAATATTAAAATTTAAATATTTGATAATGAAATAATAATAGTTTTATTGAAAAATAGAATATTTAATGATAGATGAAATAGAAATTTAGAAGATGGTTTGCATAAATATGAATAACAATAATTCAGTGAAAATCATTTTTTAGGTTTTCTAAGTTTAGCATCCTATCTTTATTGCATTTCCAGATCATCTTTTTCTTTTTATGCTTCTAATACTTTATTACGTTTAAGTTATCTTAAATCTAAAATAAAAATTAATAATACCAGGTCTAAATGATGCATCACTTAGTAGTAATGGATTAGGTTTAAAGACTTTGCATTCGTATGGATGTATATAATTGACATCCCAATATCTTACTTCTGCAAATTCAATATATCCCATATATGATCCATATATTTTGCATACTTTTTTACCTGTTTTTTTGATTTCTCCAGAGAGATAATCTGAAGCTTTCCATCTAACGCTATCTAATTCAACACAAGCAGAAATATCATTTTTTTTATCTATGAAAGTAATTTTACCTTTGCATTCAACTTTCATAGGTCCCCAAAAGCTACCACTATATTCTTCACCTGCAAAATTATATTCAATAATTTCTCCATTTGCAAATTGTAAAAACCTTTTACCTTTATTTTTTAAAGAGAGTGAATTGACTCCTGCTTTAGCTTCATAGTTATAATATCCATAAAATTTATAACTATTTTTAGGACCAATAGTAAGAAAATAACTAATGGGAGGATGATGAGAGATTTATTCTACATATGCAGTAGTTCCATCTTAATAGAAACCAGATATAGTTTCACCTAAGATAGGATTAAGTGGTTTAAGAAATGAACAATTCAAATAGAAATTACCTAAAGTAGCACAAATAATTAACTTCATCTAAAAATAGTATTAAATAATTTACTCTTTCAATAGGATCTTATTCAAGAACTGCTCTATTTATATATAGTGGAAATAGACAACTAGACATTAATACTTTTTCAAGTGCTGATTTAGGTATCATAGCTTTGATAGGGAAAGAAATAGTTGTTAAATTTAAATTACCAGATAAAATTTGTTTACCAATTTATTTGATCAATTCTTTACCAATAGCTCTTAATGTTCTTATTAATTTTTTATTCTTGCATACTTTACCACCATCTTTATGTGCTAAAGTTGATCTAGATTCTTCTTTTGATTAAAGTGGTTTAAAATTAGAGACAGCCTTAAAAATTAACTCTTCAGTATTATCAATGTTATAATCATGTATTTCTTTAGCCCATTTATAGATTGCTGCATTCTTAGCTTCTTCCTCTGACATCTCTCTATCTTCTTCTTCTTCATCTTCTTCTTAAATCACTTCAGGTTGATCAGCAATCTCTTCTAGTTATGATTTATCATTTTCATTATTTTTAACTTCAGCTTATATTTATGGATNTACTTTTTGAACAAGGACAAGAAGGTAACTTTTATATATCTATTTAAATCTTAGTTCTCCAAACAGAATTCCCATAAATAATATTATGTTTGGATTGTGGCCTTACTCCTATTAATCCTATAGTATTACCTTGTTAACACCTCTTCTGTCTTTAATGTTTTTAAAATGACTTGATCTAGCAATATTGTCCAGTTTGTCTTCAATAATGCATGGTTACAGATCCTAACATCAATATTCTTTTTAATCAACTTTTACAATGGTATTGTGAAACTGATGAAAAATTTGTTCTACAAAATTAGCATATACAATCATTACCCATATTTCTATTTGATAAACAAATTTGCTATAAAATGAATTTCTCTCTTAAAATTGTCGAAGATAGATATAAATAGCTAATAAAATTAGCTTCACATGGATCAGGCAAATTTCCTATTGTTCCCTTTACTGATAAATTACCTATCTATGCTGATATGGTAGAAATTGTTAGCATTACAGATCAAATATAAATTATTGGTTGCGATAGATTAATAATAGATGCAATTTATTGTTTTATAAACGATGAAAAAATACCATTCACTCCAAACACTTTTAAAGCATTACCAAATCAATTATGGTTATGCAATTATACTATTATCAAAGATAATATAGATAAATCAGCTATCTGGAATAAAATCAAATAATTTATTTAATATTCTTTTTCAGAATTGACTGAAGAAATGAAATCGTTGTTTGAAAAACCATATCATTTAATGAGTATTTTTGGAAACAAATTTCACTAAGTCAATTCTGGACTTATCATGATACAATTATTGAAGATTAATAATCATTAATTCTAAAAACTATATTATTCTAATGATGAATAATTCAGAAATTTATTCATCTGGAATTTTATTAATCAAATTTAATCTAAAATTATTAAAATTATCGGTTCTTAAACTCAAAATGCTAAAATAAAAAACCAAACCATGGATTAAGAAGTAGAACCACCTAATTTGCAATTTCATAACATTTACGAAGAAGATGATGAAGAATCTATTGAAGATTTCAATTAATCATTCTCAAATTTAACAATTACTCAACAAATCATTCTCAATCTCTTCCATCTTCATAAAGTACCATTGTTTTAGTGATTATATTTTTTACTTATCATCTGTTTATCATATACTAATATTCATATTAATAAAATATTTATTGAATAATAATTTTATACTTATCAATTTAATTATATTTAAAACCAGTTAAAAAAATTAAAGTGATATGTACTTTTAATCCTAGTTTCATCGTTTTCAGGGTAATTTTCATAATAAGTTTACAAGCCTTTCATCTATCCATTCTTATATTGACCTACACAATATATTTTTTGTCTTTGATTTGGATAATAAAAATATGTTTTGATACCTATTCCATCTGCTTTATTCATTGTAAAATTTCCTTATATTTTACAAACTTCTCCAGGAGTAAGTTAATTTTTATCTAAGATTTCAAGAGTACCTTAGTTTTTGAATTAAATTTCTTTAGATTAGTTGTATAAATCAATATCATATTAACCTGTATATGTGATATTCTTTTTGAAATTTGTAAAATCAATTTTTGAATCAGAAATTTTACTCTATTGAGTTAGTTCAAATATAAAATACTCAAAGGGTTCGAAATGCCTAGTAAATTTAAGAACTTAATATTATTTGCTAATTGTTTTCTAATATTATTTACTCTCAATTTCATGGATTATAACATTTTCTTTTATTAACTATATTGTTTAAATAATATTTAAAGAAAGATTTTTAATTTTAATTTGAATTTTATCTCCAGAATCGTTCACTTAATCAAATTAATAACCTTCTTCAAAATAATTTTATATTAAATAATATTTTAATATTCGTTTTTTCATATAGTTTGGTTTTTCAGGTAAATCTTCAAGCGCTTCTTATAATGTTGCAAAAAATTATTCTTGTATTATTTATTAAGAATTTTCTTAAATTGGTTATTGTTATTGTTCTTAAAGGGGTATGTTTTAAATTTATTCTTGATTTTACAATTGTATTACTAATTAGTTTTCATTTGTATTTTCATTTATTAATGGTTCTTATTAAAAATGTTATACATAGTTAGTTTAAAATTCCTATGGAGATGTATCATTAAATGGTATTTCTAATTAGTTTTCATATATATTTTCATTTAGTGTTGATGCTTATTTATAATGTTAATTATAATTTAATTCCAATGCCTATGGAGATTTATTATTTTATGGTAGTGTCGATGCTTATTTTAAATTTTAATTAAATTCAAATGTTTATGCAGATATATTATTTAATATTATGTCAAATTAATTTTCATTTATATTTTAATTTATTTATGATTCTTTCTTTTAGATATTATTAAATTTGAAATTATCAACAGGTGTATTATCTATTGCTTAATAAAATTTTTCACATTTCCCTTTTAATTTATAATATTCTAATAATTTTTTAGTTTCC